GGTCTCTGGAGGACTCCCTTGGCAGAAAAGTGTTTAGTGCACTCAGAGGAGGAAGAGGAGCCGGCAGGAGGCCAGCAGGGTAATGTGGAGCATTTGGCCCCTGGCCTCTCCTCCTGAGGTTGGGGTGACTGGAAGTGCCCACGCTCCCCAGGGCTAGTATTGGCCTGCTCTGCTCCTTCTGCCAGCCTCAGTCAACCTTCCACCACAGTGACAGGTCTGCACCCCTCCCTGCGTGGGTGACAGTACTCTCTGAGAACGCCTTGACAGTGTCTTTGTTCCTCTGAAATAAAAGAAAATCGAGCTACAAAGGGAAACCTCAGGTAGCTTTTAACGGGCTCAGCTGCCTGGGGCAGAGTGTGTTCAAGCTGGAGGCAGTTGTCTCGGGAGCAGAAGGGGGAGCCGCCTGCAGCCCCCAGCCGCCCCCTTCTCAGGGGGGAGCCCCCACAATCACGTTCACTCAAAGAAAAGGCTCTTTCAAAGAGTGGCAAAGGAGAAAATCAATGAAAATTGATAGAGAAATGTAAAGCAGCTGTCTGCTGTGTGTATGTGTGTGTGTATGTGTGTGTGTGTGTGTGTGTGCATGTGCCCGCAAGTGCAACATGCGCGTGCACACGCATGTGCCTGCTTGTGAGGGCACAGCCTGAGCAGAACATGCACCCTAGACCCTGGATGAATGCTGACCTGCTTAGGGCTCAAGACCAAGGAAGGTGGGGGCTGGGAGTTGATGCCTGGCACATGCCAGTGGAGGGGTCCTGGTGGCTGGGGGGAGGGGCGGCAGCCGAGTCTCTAACTCGAGTTAAGAGAGAGATTAATATATTCAATCTGCTCCAGGGTAATTGAGGGAACAATTGGAGTGTTTTTCTAAAGCCTATAAAACTGCCTCATTTGCAAGGAGGGGCCGCGGGGCTGCAGGTCCTCATATTTAATGGAGGCAGGAAGAGCAGAGGAGGGGAGGCTTTGGGGTCCCAGCATGAGGGACTGGGGGGGGGGTGGGCATCAGCCCGAGAGGGGACTGGCAGTCCTGGTCCAAGCGGCTTTCACCTTCTTCAGTTCCTGCCACTTTGTTGGTTAGCTGCCCAAGCAGTGTTTGGGAGCCTGTTTCCCGACCTGTGAAATGGGCCTGGAGCAGCTGAAGGGAGGCTGCTCAAGACCCGGGAAGCCAGCCCACAAAAGGGCTGGCACCGGGGTGAAGGGGCACGAACAAAGAGGTGCCCGTCTCCCCAAGCCAGGCCAGTCCCCTGAGATTCAACGGGCAGTAAAGAGTAAAGTTAATGAAATCCGCATTGTGCGCCCCTCCCGGCTTGAACCATTTTAGTCTCCAGGGCAATAGAAATAGCTTAGGCAATAGCGAGCAATAAAAGACATAATGAATTTAAAAGCAGAGCAGAGACTGGAGAGTGAGGACTCTGCAGTGCTCTGGCCGGGAGGCGGGAGGGTGCCTGGGGTGGGGAAAGTGCAGGCCTGGAGCTCCCGCCAGAATCTAGACTGGGACCGACAGGCAGGATGGGGGATGGGGACAGGGAGGAACAAAGGGAGGACATCCGACACCGACACCGAGGTGTAGGGACCGAGGGCAGAGGGGACTCTAGGCAAGCCACTAACAGCTCCGTGGCTGTTCTCCGTTCCCCTCCATTTCTCCTTAATGAAAGTGCCCCAGCCTGTGGACGCCAAATCCACAATCAGAATTCACAGGCTTAGAGCCAGGTGCTTGGCATTTGGTGATTGCTTTATTAGCTTTTTCTTTCATTTTTCCCCTCTGGGGGCTGGGGAAAGGTGTTTTAAATGGAAAGAGTAAAAAGAAAGCAAGAAAAAAAAAAAACCCTTGAAAGTGCCATTTAAAACGCTCTTGGAAAACCCAATTGCTTCCATGAAACAAAACTGCAATTGTTTGAAAGAGGTAACTGCTGGGGGAGGGAGCCCACCACGCCCTTGCTCTCCTCCTCCCTCTGAGCCTGGAATCTAGAGCTCCCAGCCATGTGGGAGGAAGCTTGGGGCCTCCAAGGTTCAACACTGATTGAGCCGCTAGGAAGGCTCCCAGAGCTAAGAACAGGGAATTTTTAAATTCATGTTTTCAGATATTTTATCCCTGGGAATTTCCAGTCCAAAGTTTCCCTCTTAAACAGCTCTGCCCCAGGGAAGTAGTCCTTGAAACTTCAGAGATCTTAGGAGACGGGAGTGAGGTTTCTGGAGGGTCAGCCTAATGGTTCCAAGCTCAAAGCTGCTGTGGCCTCCCCAGGTCCTCCCACAGAGGTCATTTGCCCTCCCAGGAGTTCAGCAGAGTCACCTCTGATGGCCCCTTGATCAAGCCTCCCCTGCATCTTCCTGCTGTTTCCTGAGGCTGGAGCACCCACTCTGCCCAGTGCAGGCCACCTCCTTGTGGTCTTATAACTCCCCCTTACCATTGGACAAGGAGGGGCAGGGTATGGGGTGGCCTGATAGTCTCAAAGCTGCCAAGAGATGACAGTGGGCAGTGTCAGGGAGTGGGCTGCGTGGAGGGTTGGGGTGGAGGCTCCACCCACTCAGGAAGCACCATGTGCCTATGGCTGGCAGGGAACCTGGAGTGGTTGCCCTTCCATGCTGAGAACCCTTGGTAGCCCCTGCTAGCAAACACCCAGTGCCCTCTGGTGGGTCAGGGGTCCTAGGAGTGATCTTCATCCTAGCATATGATTGTTTCACACTGAAAATATTTAAGGGGATAGTCCTTCTTAGCCCTACATTCCTGTGGTTATTTAGGGCCCAGTAACCTGTTGGGGCTGAAAAACAAAGTGATTCTGCTTCAGTCAGTCCTTGAAGTAGGCCCTGGTCACCTACTGAACCCTGCCTCTGTTCCCTACTTATCCTTGAGCATCCTAATCATGGCTTTCCCAATCGCCTGCACTTCATGCCTCCCTCTACCCCCACTCCACTGCCCAATGGCAAACACTATGCAAATTAGAGAACAACTTGTGAGCCTACAATACAGTCCTAAATCAAATAAATAGAGTCAACTGTTGAAATGCCTAGTGCAGACAGGACTGAGAGTAGCCTGAAAGGGATGAAACCAATTCTGGGAAAGCTTCCTGGAGGAGGTGGCCTTGAATTTAGATTTTGTATCTGGAGCCCAGAAATCCATTCCTAGACTTGACCTGAACATTGCTGAGGTTGGGCTACATCCCAAGAATGCAATCTTCTCCTGTCATCTCTAGCCTTCCTGCTTCAGGCCTTTCCTCCTGTTGTCCCTGCCCTCCCAATTCCGGCTCCATTTCTCTTCAACTGAGAACCAAAGAGAGCTGAGCGAAATCTTCCCCTCCTGGGCTTCCTTGTCCTTATTCACAAATTGGGGAATGCAGGGAAGAGTGTGAGGTTTTGTGGGCCCCTGTGGTTCCGGGTCACATCCACTTCCCTAGGGAGGTGGCACAGGTCCAAAGGACAACATGGGTCCCACTGAGCCTGGTCTTGATGCCGCCTTTCCAACTGTGTCTGAGCCTTCAAGAGGCAACACCAGAAAGATGCCTGTCTTCCTCCCTCTCAAGGGCTGGGCTGGACCGAGTTTGCCTGACTAAAAGCACAGCCCTCTATTCTCAAAGGACCCTCCATTGTCTGTTCCCGTGGGCTTCTGTGCTGTTGTTAGGCCTGTGATTGCTGACCCCCTGGAGGGGGCGATTTCCCTCTCCCTCGAAAACCATTTTCTTGTCTTGGTAGAAGCAGACATCTGACACTTTAAGAGGGAGTGTGGCGCAGAGATGATGGCTTTAAATAACAGAAATTAGAGCTGCTGAGTCTGTCACAGCCATCGGACCAGCCCCTTCCCCCAGCAGCCCCACCCTCCCTCACCGTGCATTTCAAACAGCAGCCTGGCCTGTGGCTCCCGGCTGGGTGTGACCAAGCCATGCTGGGACCTGGTGAGCAGGGATCAGCCTGTCCCAGAGCTCAGAGTCTCCTAAAAGCCTAGTCCTGCGATAGAACATAGGACGGAAGGGCCAGGGCCCAGGCTGTGAAGTCAGGGAATTTACAATCTGAGGGAACAGAAAGTTCCCTAGGAATCCAGGTGACACCCATCTCATTTTACAAGCTCAGCACACAGCACAGAGCTGGGGGTACAGCGAGGAGTCAAAAGGGTGAATGAAGGGACAGAGCCAGAGTGGGCCATGTTAACAGCCTGGAGCCCTGGACAAGAGAGGTTGGTCCCTGGGTCCCTGGTTTGCACTTCCTACTCACTCTGCCAAAGCCACAGTCCCCTCTTGTCTTTCTATACACACCCTCCAGTGGCTTCCCATTGCCTTCCAAATTGACAAATTCCACCTCTGCTCTTCTGCCACTACCCTCCATTTGCTCCAGTTTATCCCATCCACCAGCCCTCTTCCAGCCAGACTTGGTCCATTACCCAGGCTCTGCTCAGCACCATACCAGGGCAGTGGGGGAGAGAGGTGATGCAGGAGAGCCCCCACACCTTAAGGACCCACCTAGCTTTGGGTTCAATATATCACTGTGTACTAAGGTCTCAGGAATGTTGTTGGCATTAAATGGAATCAAGTAACCTTGAGCCTTGGTACCTCGCCCTGTGAAATGGGCTACCATTTACTCTACTGGTTTTTCAGTGCTGGCTGTGAGGCCTTCCAGACATGCTGCCTGTCTGTGGAAGTGGGAAACCCTCCTGTGCTCAGTTAAGGACTAGATACCCTCGCCTGGGCCTGAGGCTGCCAGGGTCCTGGTTCAGGGCTGAGCCTCTCCTGGTCACAGTGGGAGCTGGAGGAACTTGAAGGTGAGCCCACAGAGGAGATTAAAGTGAGAGTTCCCTGGCGAGGTCTCAGGGAACACTAACACACTAGGCAAAAGAATCCCCACCCTGCTGTGTCCCTGCTTTGTGTGGCCTTGGTTCCATCTATTTTTTTTTTTTGGTCTGTCCCTTTAAGCTGAGACTCCTGGTCCATCCTCAGACTGCTGATTACCAGAACTGAAGGAGGCAGCCTTGGGAGGCTTTGCTGCTCTGCCCAATGATCTGGGACCCAGAAAGCACCCACCTGCAGCCTGGGAAGTCCGGGCTCTGGATTTGGTGCCATGGGTTCTGGTTGTCTGTGTGCCGGAGGACAGTTGGAAGCAGGAGGCTGAGGGGCCCGGTGCACATGGAAGGCCACGCTGTAGGCCAGTCCCCCACAGTGGCGGACAGTGGGGTCCTCACTGGCCCGGAGCAGAGGCAGGTTGCCACGGTAGCGGTACAGGTCCTCGTGCTCCCTCGCCTCCAGGTTCATGCGGGGTTGGTCTGGCCGTGGGTAGATGGGGAAGATGGCCTGGCCCACCCGCTGGACTGCCTGTCCTGAGGTGCCCTCCAGCCGCAGCGCCTCCACACGCAGCCGCGCATCATGGTGCCCATCATTCTTGCAGAACCCTGGGTGGGAAATATGGGATTTGACTGTGGTCTCTAGGGTCTCTCTCTACAGTGGGTGAGAAGGACAAGCAGGGACCCAGGACAGCCTGGGCTGGCTAGCTGTTGAGTCAAAGCCCATCAGGCTTGGTGAAGTTTTCCCTGGGGGGTGAGCCCCCTCTCAGGTCCCTACCTGTAGCTCCTCCCTTTACCCATGCTGGGTACCTGGCCCCTAGAGGGAGGAAGGGAGGGCTCTTCGCCTACGGGGCCATCGTGGGCCCTGAAACCACCTTGCCCCAAGGAAGAGTTCAACCTGTCCCCAATTCTGGTCACCTAAAGTCTGGGACTTGGTTTTCTCCTTCCCTCAAGTCTCTCTTCTACTGAGAAGCTGTCCTGGGTGGCCTCACAACCTAGGCATGGATCTTTTTCTCCCTTTCGCTTTTTTAGTCATTCTCTAAGATTCCTGCCTCTCTTTACCTGGTCTGGAAGCTTCTAGAAGGCAAGATCTGGGTCTCCTTATCCCTGTTCATCCGCCATACCCACAGCTAAGTGATGCTCAGAGGTTCTAGGGTTACTCGCTGTAATGTTCACTACCCAAGACCGGATCCAAACCTACCTTGGGCTAGTGCTTTTAAATTCACACCTGCCCCTCCTTTTCCTCCTCACCTTACCCTATAGGAATAATACCAGCATCCTGAGTCATACTGAAGGAGACAGAGCCTCATAGAGGGCCAGTATCCCCAAGGCCACATGGGCCAAGATTTGTAGTTTAGTCTGAGGATCTGCACACCCCTCCCAGCACTCCTGAGCTTTCCTAGGGTCCCTGGAAGGGGCTGGGGGAGAAGCCCAGGGACCTCCTCTGCCTCCCACTCCCCCTCCCACTCCCACATTGTACCTTTGGGCAAAGTAAAGATAAATTTGTTCCTGGGGAGGGTGAGGCTTTGGCCAGGATCCTGCTGCTCAATGACATCAGTGACAGCAGAGCAGGCTTGGAGGGGGTCCCCATCATTCACCTGCAACTGTACCCCATCTCCAGAGCCTGCCAGCAGTGGGTTCTCAGCTGACAGCCGCAGGGCATATCTGCCTTTCTCGTTAAATCCCACACTCAAGACCTCGAACTCCAGGTCCAGTGTCTTTTCTTCAGCCTTCAGCCTCTGGCTTGTCAAGGATGCAGGGAGCCAGGGTTCAGGCCCACTAAAAGCCATGGTCACGTTCAGGGCCTGACCCCAGGCTAAGCACTGCACTCCTGCCCATAGTCCCAGCCTGTGTCCAGTCTGAAAGCCTACAGGCTGGGTGTTCAGGGACACACCCACTTCTCTCCGTTTGTTTGAGAAACCAGGTAACAAGCCAGGAAGATGGGGCCTGACCTGGGGAACCAAGGCAGCCATTAATCTCTTTTAGCATTTGTTCCTTCGACAAATATTTATTGAGCATATACTCTGTGTGAGGCACTATTTTAAGCATTTGAAGTATAGCAGTGAACCAAACATTCCTGCCCTCCTGAAGCTTGTCTTCTAGTGAAACAGGAAAGGGAAGAAGACAAAAATGAATATGATATATAGAAAATAAGTAAATTATAATGTAAGCTAGAAGACAATAAGTTCTATGGAAAAAAAAATAGAGCAGGGCCAGAGTTGAGAGGTACATGAATATACGGTATTCAGAATTTTCCATTTCTGGAAGAGCCTGTCTGTTCGCCCCCAAAGATTCTTAACTCAGTTGTGAACAGTGCGATAAGGGAAGGGGGATGTTGTCTATTCCCTGGGATTACGCCCTTAGCACCTGATTCTGAAATCAGTTCACCCACTTAATCAAAACACACAATATGGGGCACAGTTTCACTTTACAAAGAGCTCTGAGCCTCTCACACTGAAGAGTAGTCAAGCTGAAATCCATCGTTCCTGATCCTGGGTCTTGCTAATACCCAATGGAAGTCAGAAGATTCTGGAGACCTCTCAGTAAGAACCACACCTACACCTACTATTACCACCACCACCATCACCACCTCCACCAACCACATCATGAACACCACCACTATCTCCATCACCACCACCACCACCATCACTACCACCACCACCACCACCACCACCACCACTATCACCACCATCACCACCGTCAATATCATTATCATTAATGATGTTTTTCATTGAGCAGCTACTAGATATTAGGCACTCTGCATAGCTCTCTGAGATAGATACAGTTATTTGTTGTTTTGTTCTACATTTTTTTTTCAATTGTAGATGGACACAATTCCTTTATTTATTTATTTATTCATTTATTTATTTATATTTATACGGTGCTGAGGATCAAACCCAGAGCCTCACACATGTTAGGCAAGCATTCCACCACTACAACCCCAGATCCTATTTCCTGTTTTACAGATGAAGAATTTGAGGCTGAGACAACGTTAAGAAATTCATCTCAGGGCTGGGATTGTGGCTCAGTGGAGAGTGCTTACCTAGCATGTGTGAGGCACTGGGTTCAATTCTCAGCACCACATAAAAATAAAAAAGTTTTAAAAAAATTTTTTTAGTTGTAGATAGACACAATATATTTGTTTGTTTGTTTGTTTACTTTTGTGGTGCTGGGGATTGAACCCAGGGCCTTGTGCATGCGAGGCAAGCACTCTGCCACCTGAGCTATCTCCCCAGCCAAATATCTTTATTTTTATTTATTTATTTTTATGTGGTGCTGAGGATCAAACTCAGGGCCTCATATATGCGAGGTGAACACTCTACCACTGAATTACAACCCCGGCCCAAATAAAGTTATTTTTTCTAAAAAAGAAATTCATCTCAGATCACGTGGTCGATAAGCAAGAGTAGAGGGGATGTGGCTCAGTGCTTAAGCACCCGTGGGTTCAATCTCTGGTACAAAAAAAAAAAAAAAAAAAAAAATTACCATCTTAACCATTTTAAAATATTCAGAGTTCTAAGTACATTTTGCCTTGTTGTGCCAAGCACCTCCAGAACTCTTTTCATCTTGTAAAACAGAAACTCTATGCCCCTCCTTATGCCCTAGCCCCTGGCCACCATCCTTCCACTTTCTGTGCTATGAATGACTGCTCCAGGTACTTATATAGGTGGAACCATATGGTATGTGTCCTTTTGTGACTGGCTTATTTCATGCCCTGGAGAAGTGACTTTTGCTCTTGCTCACCTCCTTCCCTTGCTGCTGTGGTTTCCCCTGCCCAAACTGTCAGCTCTATTTGGAGCAACTTCCTCCTCCTTGCAGACTGGTAAAACTTCTACCTACCACCCGGGTGAGCAACTTGACCCTCTTCCTTTCCTGTCTTGCATGTTGACCTGTTCACCCTCAACTGAACATCTCTTCAGGAATCACATACATGTGCCCAGGACAGGTCTGGGCAACAGATGGGTGGCTGGGAATGGTTAAAGCATTATGGAATGAATGAATGAATGAATGAATGAAAAAACCCAACTCAGCTTCTGGTTTTGGTTGTTTTATTTGGATTTTATACATGAGAAGCAAAAACCATTTGGGCTTTTGAGTCAAACTTGGCTTCAGATAGAGGCATCTTGAGGCCTCCGTAGGCAAGCTGGTACCCAGAAAGGAGGGAAGCAGAGAGGGGGGTAAACAGAGGAGGCCGGGGATTCTGGTGCTAAGGTTTCTCTAGACCTGGCCTTAGTTCTGCAGAGAAAGTCTGGAAAGCTCAGTGAATTTTAGCATGGCAGGGCTGGATGACTCTCCCATTTTACAGCTGAAGAAACTGAGCCCAGCAGCGCAGAGCCCGTCCCTAGTCCTAGTCCCTAACCCCAGAATTCTTCCTACTCCTAGATATCTCCTTGGTTTTGCCTCTGGCAGTTTTCCAAAGGTTTAAACTCCAGGCAAGGCTGCTCTGGGTGGCAAGGCCTGGCTGCTCCCGACCCCAAAGAGTTGGGAGGGAGTGGGGTGGGTGGGGGAGCAGCCCTGGAAGGCTGACTTCCAAGCCACCTTCTGCAGCCCCAGCATGAGTGATTTAATGGGGCCTTGGACTCTTCTTTTTTCCCCTAAAGAATGGCCACTTAGAAGCCGCTGGCTTTGTCTAGAAGAGCCTGGGCCTGTAATTAGCCCACCCCAGAGTCCTTCTTCCTGTTTCCCACAATGGCTCCTTTCAGCCTACCCCTCCCCCAACACTCCCCAGGGTCCTTAGGGCTCTTGGACACCCATCCTCAAGCATCCACCTCCAGCTCCGTCCCTGCCCGCCCACCCTGCCTCTGCTCAGAGCTGAGTTTTCCCGGTAAAGCAGGGACATCTGTGAGTCCTCTGGATCCTACCAGGACCTGGGGCTGCGACCATCATCCCCTGCCATAGAAGAAGAGAGTCTTGAGAGAACAGGTGGGTGGGTGATGGGTGGACTCAGGTCTTCAGGCCCATGGGCTGAGGCGGTCACCGCTGCTCCACACAGTGGAACGTGGGCCTGCAGCCCCTGGGCTGCTCCTGCAGCTCCCCCGCCTTGCAGGTCCTGTCCCACTCCCTTCAGATCCAAGCACCCAAGCTTGTGGGGGTGACAGGATCACAGACTCAGGCTGGCATAGTGGAGCATGGCAGCCTTCTGTCTCTACTGCACAGATGGGGAAACTGAGATCCAGAGCAGGGAACGACTGTGGTTGTCGTTTAGATTGTGAATGGTAAAGACAAAATTAGAAGCCTTGTCTCCTCCCTCCACAGAGGGCCTATAAACTGTCCCCCATAAATGGCATTTGTGGTCCTGTCCCTATGCCTCAGGCCCACTCAGGCTGCACACCCTGCCCCTCCCTCCTGGTGTTCTACGCCAGGCTCTGTGGAGCAGCCCAGGCCTCCCCAAAGCCCTCTGCCCTGGCTTTAGCTGAGCAGAAACTGGAGGAGGGGAGCAAGGGCCCCCTGGGTGACCCCTGGGCTTGCCCCGACACCTCCCACCCTTGGCCAGCCTTGCCTCAGAGCACCTGAAGTTCCAGGGGTGGCAGGAGGTGGGGGTGGCCTCATTGGCAGCTCCAGCAGGACTGGCCTTTGCCTCTGCTTGCCCAGCTGTCCGCCTCCTACAGCAGGCTCCCAGGACTCACCCCCAGACGGTGGTGTTCCATTGGCCTGGGTCCTGCAGCCTCTGGGGGCTGGAGACAGACACCAGTCCTCCCTCGTGATCACCATAGTGCCCGGGACAGACAAAGCAGGTAAGAGGTAGATAGAGCAGGACTCAGCAGGGTCAGCCCTGGTCAGGCAAAAGCTCAGACTTAGGCAGGGCGGAAGCTCGCTTAGGAAAGGCACTGCCTGAAACCTTTTAGAGGAAAGAGACAAACTTTATAGCCACAGGGGTGAGGGTGGGGGGGCTAGGGAGAGAGAGACATAGTTAGGAAAGAATGAGGCAAAGAGAGAAGGAGAGAGAAAGATAGGAGACAGACTGAGTTAGAGAGGGTGAGACAGAGTGACAATAATAGGGATGTAAAGTAAGATTGATGGACAGGGACAGATAGGCAGACAGAAGGACAATGAGACAAAAAGAAGCCAAATAGGAAAGATAGACATAGAGACCCACAGTGAGTGCCCTGGGTGAGGTTCTGCTGACAGGTGCACCAGGCCTTGCATTTAGATTAACCAACTGAGGCGGGGGGCTTCCAGAGAGCACAACATAGTCCAAGTTCTAGGAAGCGAGGTTTCTGGGGAAAGAGTAGCGAGGGGTGAAGGGAGTGGGGTAGGGGTGGTGTAGGGGTGACAATCTCTGGAAAAACTTCTAGCTCAGTCGCTGACCTGGCACATCATGTGATCTCTCTGGGCTTAAGTTTCCTTTGGCTGTGATGGAATATTGTGTGCAGTAGGAGACTCTGAGGTCTCCTGCGGCCTTATGATGTGACCTTAGCTCAGGCTCTGTCTTTGCAGCTAACTTACTGTCCATCCTACTGAACTTAGGACCTTTGCATCATAGTCCAATATGGCTTCTCGAGATCTAGCCATCGCAACAACATTTCAGCCAGCCTGAAGGAGGAAGGGGTAAAGAAAGCACCTCTCTTTTAAAGAACACATCCCAAGAATTAAGCTCAAAACTTTTTCTTTCCTCCCTTCCTTCCTTCCTTCTTTCCTTCCTTCTTTCTTTCTTTCTTTCTTTCTTTTTTTATACCAGGGATTAAACCCAGGGGCACTTAACCACTGAGCCACAACCCCAGTCCTTTTTTTTTTTTTCTTCTTAATTTTGAGACAGGGTCTCACTAGGTTGCTTGGAGTCTCACTAAATTGCTACGGCTGGCTTTGAACCTACGATCCTCCTGCCTCAGCCTCCCAAGCTGCTAGGATTACAGGCATGACACCGTGCCTGGTTAAAACTTCTTTTCCCATCCCATTGGCCAGTGCTTAGTCTGTATCTTAGGGTGGAATCTAACTTTGAGGGAGGCTAGGGATGGAATCCACTTACACAGCTCAGTGATGCTTTCACAGATCTGTCCTCACATCAACCTTCAACAGAGACTTACAGTTTCCTTTTACTTATTTAAAAAAAAAATTACACATGCAATGCATGTTCTAAAATACACATTCCAAACAAGTGAAACTCCCCTTCTCTCTGTCAAACTCACCCCTCCCTCAAGTGTGACCACTGCCAACAGTTTGCTGCATGTCTGCCAGATTCACTTTTTATATCTACACACAGACACACACACACACTCACACACACATGCACATGCAAATGTCTACCCAGTGGAAGCATAAAATGGGATTGCGACTCATGTATTGTTCAACAACTAGCTTTCTTAGTTACTGTTACTTGGCAGTATATCTTGGAAGTTCCACCACCAGGAAATACCTTGTTCTTTTTAAATAGTGAAATAGTACTCCATGCTGGCTGGTGGTGCAGGCCTGTAATCCTAGCAGTTTAGGAGGCCAAAGCAGAAGGATCAAAAGTTCAAAACCAGCCTTACACTGGGCGCAGTGGCTCATGCCTGTAACCCCAGCAACTCAGGAAGCTAAGATAGGAGGATCGTAGGTTCAAAGCCAGCCTCAGCAATTTAGTGAGATTCTGTCTCAAAATTAAAAAAAAAAAAAAGGACTGAGGATGTGGCTCAGTGGTTAAGTGCCCCTGAGTTTAATCCTGGTATCAAAACAAAAACAACAAACAACTTTAGCAATTTAGCAAGACTGTCTCAAAATTTAAAAAAGAGTCGGGGGGTGGGGGTGGGGCTGGGGTTGTGGCTCAATGGTAGAGCACTTCCCTTGCATGTGTGAGGCACTGGGTTCAATTCTCAGCACTGCATATAAACAAATGATTAAAATAAAGGTCCACATTAACAACCAAAAAAAATATTAAAAAGAAAGAAAGAAAGAAAGAGCTGGGAATGTGGCTCAATGGTTAAGCACCTCTGCATCAATCCCTGGTACCAATAAACAAACAACAACAAAAACCCAAAGAAATAGTTCTTCACTATATAGCTTTATCTAAGCTGATGGATGGGGCCTGGGAGCATGTGTGTTTGCCTAGCATGCTCAAACACCAAACAAACAAAACAAAACAATGACAACAAAAAAACTTTAAAAGCTTTATTGATTAATAATATGGGTTTATTGTCATTTTTTTTTTCCTATTACATTTAGCCTTGAGCATCTTGATTGCCTATCTATGTAAGCTGTTCTTGGGAATGGATTCCTAAAAGCGAGCCAGAGGTTACTTCTCTCTTTGTGTGGGTCTTTTCTTTCTTTCTTCTTCAGTTCTTTATTTTTGGGGGGAGAGGGGTGTTACTAGGCATGAAACCCAGGAGTGCTTTACCACTGAGCTACATACATCTCCAGTCCTTTTTAAAAAAATTTAAATTTTGAGACAGGGTCTCGCTAAGTTGCTGAGGCTGGCCTCAAACTCGATATCCTTCTGCCGCAGCCTCCAAGGGCTGCTGGAATTACAAGTGTGCACTATCATGCCTGGCTCTCTGTGTGGGTCTTATCCTTTCTTCCTATGGCAATTCAGCATGAGGAAGATGGAGGGCAGGCCAGAGCTGGCTCACCACTTCTCTAACTTAGCTTGGGCTTCAGGGAGGGTGCTTTTCCTCCCTGCCTCTCTCTCCTGCTGCCAGCTGCCCATCCTGGCACCATTCTTGCCCCTGTGCCCTCACATCCTGGGTCTTCACCAGCATTGGAAGCCAGGCTCACATCCCAAGGCCTGAGCCTGTGGACTGCCCAACACTTTTATTGACTGCATTGCCATTATCCTCAAAGAGGAAGAGATCCCCTCCCCAGTTCCCTTCTCTTGAGAATTTAGAGCCCCCTTCTTGTCCTGGCCTTTATCCATCCCTCCTCTCCCGCCTGCCACAGCACAGGTTTTGATACCCTTTGAGCTCCTGTTTTCCTTTTCCAGTCTTGTTTGCCATCCCTGCCGGGCACCCTCTCTAGGAGGAAGAGGGAGGAGCATTGTGAATCCTGCTCATGTACTGAGGGGTCAGGCTTGGCTGTCCCCGCAACTTTGGAGTTTGCAGAAATGTGCTGGGGATGATGAGCAGGACTCCAGAGCTGGAGCCTCTCTATGAGGATTGGAGGAGAGAACTCTCTGAGGGGCCTTTTTGGCTTCCCCCTGGGATGGATCAGACCTGAATTCCAACCCCAAGCCACCTAAAAGTGTGATGCCACCACCCCCAGCCCCCCTCCCAACTCTGGTCAGGGCCCTTGGCCCAGCTGGGGAGCAGCAGGATGCTGATCGGTTATTAAAAGCTGAGTTGGTGGCTGGGCTCAGTGCAATTCATCAGGTGATGGCCCCCTGGGAGTGATGGATGGTGACAAATGAGGGGAGGCAGGGGGTTCCTGAGCCCATCCACCACAGCTGGGGAAACTCAGCCTTCAAAGCTCTGTGCAGGCTTCTCCACTGAGGTGACTCTGAGGGCCAAAGAGATCAAGTTTCGGGCAAATGGTTGAGGGGCGGAGAGGCTCCACTGCAGGAGACAAGCTGCCCTGTGTGCTGTGTGGGGCCCCTTCGCAGCCAGAGAAGGGGGTGGGGTGGGCTTCTGTGATCCTGGAATGGCAGGCTGGAGGTCTGGGGGGCAGGAGGAGGGGCAGGGCCAATGTTGGGAAGGAGGGGGCTGCCTTCCGGGTGGGGGAGGAGGAGATCAAGCATCTTTTAAAGCAGGTGCTGGGGACCCTGCTCAGGGCCAACTGCTGAGCCCACACAACCAGCCATCCTCTCAGGGTCCCAGAGGGTCTCAGAGGAGGTACCAGTTGTTGAGGGAGCACCCTGGAGTCTCCCCAGAGTGATCAGCAAAAGAAGAAGAGAAACGGAAGGGAGAGGTCAAGACACAACTGGAAGAGGTGGGGCTGGAGCAGGCCTGGAAGGCCAGGTAGGATGGGGACAGGTGGGGGAGCAGGGAGAAGGGGTGGCATTGGGATGGAGCATGAACTGAGGCTTGAAGGCTGGAGGGGCAGGATCAGGAGGGCTGGCATTCTAAGGGCTCAGGGGATGGCTGTCCTCAGGCACCACTGGGGAATCAGTAGGGGCAGGGGGATAGCACAAGTCACATCTGAGTAGAGCCTGACTGCTTGTGGGCAGGAGGTTTATGGAGAGCCCCGCCCCGAGGGCAGTGTCCAACATGAAGCCTGCTCCTCAAGGCCAGACCATGGTGGTCCCCCCCTAGGGAAGGTATGCTGGAAAGGAGAATCTGGGCCTCTTACAGCTGGGAAATCTTCAGGGCCTTTGGCCTGTCTACCTCTGAAGGCAGAAAACCCTCTGTAGCTCCTGGGTGTTGCCAGCCGCTTTGTTGTTGTTGTTATTGTTGTTTTGAGACAGGGTCTTGCTATGTTGTCCAGGCTTGAACTCCTGGGCTTAGGTGATGCTCCTGCCTCAGCTGGGCCTATAGGCGAACACCACCTGCACCCAGATCAGCCTTTTCTCCATTGCTTCTGTGATTGCTTCAGGTCATAGGACCTGAAGGGAGGCTCACTACTCTGTGAGGGTAAGAAAACGACGTTTGAACTGAGCTGAAACCTGCCTCCCTGCATTCCCTCCTCCAAGTTAGTTCTAGCCCAGCCCTCTGGGAGGGGAAGAATGTGCTGCTCCCCAGAACAGCAGCTGCCTCTTCCCTGTGCTCACCAGGTCCACACTCCCACCACAGCAGCCTGGCCTAAGTCCCTCATGTTAGGGTGATGCGACTGGTGAGGGCAACAGGAGTCCCAGGAAGGGCTTATGTAACACATGATGCTCTGCCTGTCTTGCATGGCAGAGGAGAGGGAGGAGGTCCAGAGCCACTCACACTCTTCTCCCTCCCTCCCTTCCTGTCTCTCTCTCTCTTTCTCTCTCTCTCTCTCTCTCACACAGTGTGTGTGTGTATGTGTGTGTGAAATGATCCCAGGTGCTCTACCACTGAGCTACACCCCCAATCATTTTATTTATCTATCTATCTATCTATATATTTATTTATTTATTTAGAGACAGGATCTTGCTAAGTGGCTGAGGCTGGCCTCAAACTTGCAGTCTTCCTGCCTCAGCCATCTGAGTCTCTGGGATCACAGGCACCCAGCACTCTTCCTCTCTTGAGCTTGACAGTCAATAACACTGCTTTCCAGCCCACTGATGGAAATCCCAAGCTAGCTAAGTCCCTATGTGTGCTGGATACCTTTCTGTGTGTGTGTGCGCGCGCACGCGCACACATGCGCATGCATATAAGAGTGTGCCGTGGTCCATATGAGCCAACTCTGAGGTCCCTGAGTTCCTGAGCTTGACTCAGCCTTGAGTGTTCACCCATGGGCCCTCAGGGCACCAGGCTGCCCAGACGGGCCCAGGCCATGCCCCCCTATTAGGTTGAAGCACCCTTTGGGCCCTCTCTGCTGTGCTGTGGGATTGGGATGTTGCTGGGGCTTGGGTGTCATAGGACTTTAGGGTATGCTGTTGGACTCAGAGCCAAGGGATAGGGGGAGGTCTCTTGTTTCCTGCAGCTGCTTACTGTGGTTTGGGCCATTTCACATCAACCTGCACTTGCTTTGCCAGTGTCTGAAGGTCCTTGGAGTGTGCTTGAGTTCCTAAGGTATTCTGTTGTGTTTAGGGACTTCTGAGAGCTCTTGGGTGCAATATTAAGGTCCTGGGGCTCTGGTGACATTATTGAAATTCAGGGAATGTTGATGAGATTCTGGAGGTGTCCTGGAGACCTGGGGCTCTTGGGGGGGGGTGTTTCTGAGGTTGTGGGGATGCTACTGGCCTTCTCTATTCCTTCCACACAACTCTTAGCTCCTTCTAATCTTAGCATTTTGCCCTTTGAAGATTTTGATAACCACAGCCAGCTGAAGGCAGGCACGCAGGCCTCTGTTCCTTGACACAAACATTCCTCAGGTTTAATCAACTTGAACAAAAACATGGAGAGGAAGGAAGCCCGGTCCCAAGGCCTTCACAGGCCAACTCCAGCCCAAAGGGCAGGGCAGCTCTGTGCCAGGCCAAGGTGGCAGATGACCTTCATGGGCTCATAGTCCAGAAGTTTGGACTTCCTCCCACAGTGGGCAGGGCTTAACCACCCCCATCCAAGTCCACCCTGAGTCCTGCTGGCCCCAGCTGCTCCTGGGACATTGACATCAGCTCCATCTGAGTATGCCCACAGGGGCCCATTGCTGGTCTCAGCAGGAGGCCAGCCCTCCCCTTGCCTCTGAAGGGCTCTCTCCAGGCCTCTCCTCTGCCTCTTCTGGCTCTCCTAAGACAGATTTCATTTTTGCTACCATTTCTGGCCCTCTCTGGCCTCAGGGTTTTGCTCCACGCCCTTCCTCCAGGAAGCCCCCAAGATCATGTAGGCTGTCACCTTCCTCCCTCTTCCTCCCTCTCTGGGCCTCTACAGTTCTGTCTCCGAGTTCCTCTGCTCTGCAGCCTCTCCTCTCCTGATGGCAAGGCTGGCCTAGGATTCTCCTGGGTATCAATGTTCCTGTGCAACCCACCCCTGAGGGCAGGCCTGCTCCCCGGGCCTTTGGAGAAATCCTTCAGTGGTGCATCTTACCCTTTTCCTGTCCCCAGTGCTTCTCCTGTAGTCTGGCCAGATGACCTCTTTCCAAACATCTCAGAGCCAGCCAGCCCTCTCATTTGCAGCTCCAAGCTGTTCTGCCCCCAGGCTGAAGAATTACTTTGGGCTCAAGAAATGGGGTCTTTATCAAGCTGAAGCTGTGTAGCCACCCAGTACCCATGATCTATCCCATGCCCCTGCCAGAGTGGGTGTGGGAGCTGGAGGCCAGGTGGGTCGAAAGGCTATGAAGTCACAGCCAGCCTCTGTGGCTTTGATCTGCTTGCTATAACCAGTATCTGATGTGCTGGATACACATTCTTTGGCCGTGAAGTCACTGAGGGCAGGGGGTGGGGGCCTTGGGGAGGAGAACCCACAACAGAAGAGTCTGTAGGCTGGAGCAGACAGAGGTGGGGCCATGACCTGAGAAGGGAAGGGACTCACTCAAAGCCTCAGGGCCAGCTCCAGGGTTCAAACTCAGGTAGGCTACCTTACCAACTGGCATTTCCTACCCCACCTACCTTCCCACGCTCCTTCCCATTTCCAGCTCAGCCTGGCCCACGGTAGTTGTACCATACTACCAATGAAGATGTCCTCTGCCAGCTGGGCCCATATCAGGGCAGAAGGATAAAGCTCATCTTTTCCTCACCTCTGCATAGGGCTTCCCTGAAGGTGACTTCTGTGTCTCCCCAGTGAAGACGAAGGTGGTATCATAGAACCTGAGCTGTGGAGGTGGGACAGGGAGGGGCAGTGTCCACAGTAGTCCTTTAGGGGGAGCAGGTTTGATCCAGGGAAGTGGGAGAGGGACAGTGCCTGGGCTCTCCTGGGGCAAACCTGGTGCACCCCTGATGCTGATAGAGGCTCAGCAGAGGCTCCTTCAGGTAGCCTGATGGGGTCCCTGCATCCCTTCAGGTACAAGCTAAATACCATCTCCTCAGTGAAGCCTTCCCTGACCACCTGATCCAGAACAGCCAGCTCCTCTCTCTCTGCCTCTCTTCTCTTTCCCTGACTTATTTTCCCTCTCAGCACACCCCTGCCCCTGCCATTATATGTTAAGTTCCTTGAGGGGCAGGACTTGCCCTGTGCTGTATCATTAGCCCCAAGGATACAACCTGGCACATATTTGTTGAGTGAACAAATGAGCCTGGAAGACAGAGTCTGGCTCCCTCCAGGGCAGGACAAGGTTCTGGCCAACTGCACGTCTCTGCCTCAGGCAGGGAGGGCGTTCCCTCTCTGGAATTAACCTCCAATTGTTGGAGGTATCAAGAGGGGGATTAAAGATCAGATAGGAACTGGGCGCAATGGCGCACACCTATAATCCCAGCAGATCAGGAGGCTGAGTCAGGAGGATCACGAGTTCAAAGCCAGCCTCAGCAATGGTGAGCTGCTTAGCAACTCAGTGAGACCCTGTTTCTAAACAAAATACAAAATAGGGCTGGGGATGTGGCTCAGTAGTTGAGTGTCCCTGAGTTCGATCCTGGGTACCAAAAAAAAAAAAAAAAAATTCAGACAGCAGCTGATTGCTCCCTAAGCTCAGATCTTTGAGTGGTGAAGGGCATGTCGGGCTTTGATATTGAGCAGAGGCCTCTGGAAAGCCCAGCAGGTGAACCCCAGGGCACAACAGGACAGGCCCACGGTTGAATGTTGGTCACTAGAACAAGCAATGGCTTCACGAATCTCAATTTCTAAAGCCCCTTGAGCCCCACAGCCAGGCATTGTGCATCAGGAAGGGAAGAAGAGGCAGGGATTCTGCCCTCTGGGAGCCCACTCCCAGGCTGAAGAGGCATGATTCACCTGAGAACCTGGGATCTGAGGGCCAAGGGCCATCATGGCTCCTGTACTGCATTAAGCTCAGGTTCAGCTCTGAGTCAGCTGATCTCTCTGTGGGACGGAAGGGAGGTCAGAGCCCCTTTCCTGGAAGAGTGGCTGTTTGGGAAGGAGGCGGAGGAATGAGTCTACCAGAGCTCAGGCCCTAATCCTGCCTTGTGGGCCTGGCTCAGGAACATGGGGGGGTGAGGACGCTGAGGACTTCAAGGCCTTCTACTCTGAGATTCACTCAGGCAGTTCCCCACGTAGGGACCACACTTTCGACTGCCCCACCCCTTCCTCAGCCCAGCTGGCTTTCCTAACTCCTGATCTTCACCCAAAGGATTTTCTTCAGGAATCCTTCCCACCCCCAATTCCCCAACCAAATTGGTTTTCCCAGGATATAACCAGGGCACCTGTGCCTTCCCTCTGCAACCCTCTGCACCTAAGGCTATTTTTTTTTTTTTTTTGGTTCAGGGGATTGAACTCAGGGGTACTCAACCACTGAGCCACATCCCCAGCCCTATTTTGTATTTTATTTAGAGACAGGGTCTCACTAAGTTGCTTAGTGCCTCACCATTCCTGAGGCTGGCTTTGAACTCACAATTCTCCTGTTTCAGCCTCCTGAGCCAAGCCCTGGGATTACAAGCACAGTGCCTAGCCTAGGGCTATTTTATACTGGTCTGGGCCCTCTACCCCCAAAATACTGTTCCCAGGGAACAGTGCTGGCACATTGAAAGAATAAACACACTTTTTTTGAGGGGGGGAGTCTACTGGTAGTAAACTCAGGGGCACTTTACCATTGAACTATACCTCCAGCCCTTTTTATTTTATTTTGAGGTGGGTTCTCCCTACATTGCTGAGGCTGGCCTTGAACCTGTGACTCTTCTGCCTCAGCCTCCCTAGTTGCCAACAGATTACAGGCTTATGGCACCATGCCCTGCAACAAATGAATGTCTTTTTTTTTTTTTTAAGCTTCTTTACTGAATACCTAGCTGGGTAGGCAAGGCCTGAGCCCCTTGGAAAGACAGGGACCCTCTAAGTTTCAGGGCCCCGAACCCCACCCAGGAGCAGTGGCTGAGCACAGTTCTCTGCCTGTCTGCAATTCGCCCCTCCCTGCGGGCTGGGCCAGGGAGAGGAGGGGAGGCAGCAAGAGGTCCAGCTTCTCAGGGGAGGAGGACCAGAGGAACCCTCACCCTGGGCCCTGGAGAAGCAGCAGGCAGGCGGGGCGCTCCTTGCCTGCCCCTGGATCTGGTTCGTGTTTAAAGGACTCATTTCCGCCTATGCGGGTGAGTTATCTTCTTGTGAAATCAAGTTGTAGGAACAAAAAGGTTTTACCAGTGAAACACATGAGGCCTTCTTCATGGAAATCCCAGCAGCAGGCATGGACGGGGCCCTCTCCCTGAATCTGCTGGCCAGCCCCATCTGTGGGTTGCCACAGTGCTGGGCTCTGCGAATGTGGCAGGCAAAAATGTGGGGGCTCCGGGGCAGGCGCTGAAGGCAGGTACGTGTGCATGCACAACCAGGTGCCGCCCTCCAGGCTGCACCCCTCCAGGGCAAGGGGACCACGGTGCTGGGACCTCCTCCCAGGAGGGGGCTTTGTCTAGATTCTGTGTACCCCCATTACTGAGGCACAAGTGGTGAGAGAGGGCCAAGCTGGGGCTGGGGGATGGTCTCCAGAGAGCCTGGGCAAAGTGAGGGAGGCTTGGGCTGGACCCCTAGAGCAGAAGGGGTGGGAACCCAGCTGGGAGGGCCTGACCCCGCAGACCCAATGGAGCCTCCTGAAGCCCGCCCAGCCTTTCATCTCTGCACTCCTTTCTCCTGGTCCTCCCTTCTGCTTGTCTGTGGGTCCGTCTAGGTGGGCTGGGAGGAGAAGGAAAGGGGTCTCCATGGGCAGCCTGGGCTGAATGGGAAAATCTCTGAGAACGGTCCTTTGAGCTGAGGTCAGCTGATGGCCGTTCAGCAGCCAGATAGGTCCTCCAGTGAGAGCCCGTGGACCCTGAGGGGGTACACTAAGATAACTACAGGGTGGGGCAAGATGGGGCGGGAATGGACAGGAGGGGACACGAGAGGCCCTTCCCCTCCTCCTGGGCCAGCCTTCCTAGCCTGCAGTCCCAGGGCTTTTCCCAGAGAGCTAAAAGCAAGAAAGTAACCTTTAGGATTAAAAAGAAATGTTTCTTTGTTAGGATTTTCTTTTTTTCCCTTTAAGCTTCTTTTCACATTTGTAGAGGATTTTTTTTTTTCTCTTGTCTGGGGGTCAAAGGAGAAGGGCCCAAGAATGTCGTCCCAGGCGGCAGGGAACCAGACCTCATTCTTGGGGGCAACAGATGACTACTACAACAGCTGGTACATCGATGAGCCCCAGGGGGACAAGGACCTCCAGCCAGAGGGGTGAGTGTGCCACCCCTGGCTCTGTCAGCCATCAGAGTTGGGTGTGGCAGAGGTTACCAACTGGTGTGTGTGTGGTGGGGGGACAGAACCTGGGCAAGAGCTGCTAAGAACTGGTTCAGCCACTCATTCACTGTGTGACCCTTAGGCAAGTCATAGCCTCTCTGGGCTTGTTTCTGTATCTGATACTTGAGAACACTAGCCCTTGGCCTGCTGTTAAGATACTTGAAGTCAGAGGACCTGGTCAATCTGAAAAGCACTGTGTGATGTGTTAAAAAGACAGATTCCCCGCCCATCCTTGCAGGTTCAGCTCTAGCAGGTCTGGGCTGCTCCCTGGGTGATCTGGCCTGTATCTGGGATGGGGAAGCAATTGAGGGGTTACTGGTCTCTGTGGTGAGGACTTGGGTTGTGGTGTTTATAAGCCTCAGGTTCTTGGAGCAGGCTGGGAGAAGTGGGGGAGGCAGATAACTGGAACCAAAGTCTAGGGGAAAGTCACTGAGGGAGGGACCCTGTGGCCCATTGTCTTAGATGGCTTAGTCTAAGGAGGGAGGATGAGGAGGCTCTGTTTTCTGTAGCAAGAGTGCTCCAGCCAAGCCAGGGAGGGTGCGAACAGAGGGAGGGAGCAGCCAGCCCACCCCGGGGTGGCCCAAGGACTCTTGGCCCAGACCCTTTCTATCTTTGTTTAGTCTGCCCACTCTGGCAGAGGAATTGGGCCTCTCTGTGACCCCAACTGCTGCCTCTGTGGGACCCCAGCTCAGCCCCCCTGCCCTTGTTGTTCCTGGCCCTGGCCCTTCCCCTGCCTCCCTCCTCTGAGGGTTTCAGGAACTGGAAAGGTGAAGGGAGTGGGGTGCTGAACCAGATGTGTGCGCATCTGTTCTCCATTAAAATTTGAAACTAGAGAAGGAAACATGCTCTTGTGCCTCCCCGGGGGGGGGGGGGGCTGAGGCCGTGCCCTGACCAGGCTTGGGTCACTCAGCAGGGACAGAGTCCCCACCTGGGCCTGGGGGAAGGAGCCATGCTTTGAAGGACTCCGGAGGGGTTCCGACACCTGGAAAACAGCCCTGATCTGGGCAAGGGTATGCCCCACTCATCTTCCCTGACTGCCATTGAGAGTGCAGGGCTCTTATGCATGGGCTGGGGGAGGGGCTAGGAAACCCTTAAGGACTCAGATCGAGCCTGGGGTTAGGTACTAATCAGAGGAATGCTAGGACATTGCCTCCTTGGGAGCACCAGGGCCTGGGCATTGGCGAAGGGCCAGGCGCCTGCAACCAGTACGGTGCTTGGCATATTTAGATACAGTCTCAGAATAAAGTCCCGGCATGGTAGGGACTGGGTGATGGGGACTGCTGCCTGTCACATGTTTGGCACTTGGGATTTGTAGCTCCCTTCTCCCACGGTCAAACATGGAACCTATAAGAATAAAGAAGAGTATTTGAATCTACTTATGCAGTAAAAGCAAGTCTAGATATTTTCCATCTCCCTTCCCCACCCCCATCCCCCTTCCCTGAAAGCTGGGAGCAGGAAGCTGGGCACAGGGGAAACCCATGGAGATGAACTTGGATTCACCTCTCCATGCGTGAGTCACACCCCAGGGATATGGTGCACGAAAGCCATGAGGAGCTCTGATGGCAGCTCCCCTGTGCCCTCACTGTGACCAGCACAACAGGCTGGAGTTGGGGTTGGTGGGCACTGGTGACAGTGGCCCAGATGGACTCAGCCTCAGAAATATCCTAAGCTCCAGACACCCTCAATGGCTTCCCAGGGCCTCCTGTGCCTGCTCTAACCTGGTCTCACCTTCTGGGCTGCCAACAAACTGAAAGACTAGCCTGGGGCCAGTCACACCCTCTCTGCCTGTCACTGCTTCCTCAGGTTGTCCTTTCAACAGAGCTTCCTTTTCCCTTCTTTGCCTAAAAAGCTGTTAACCAGATTTCAAACTCAAATCCAACCCCATTTCTGTGGCCTCTCTAAGCATGGAGCTTCCCACCTCCCATGTGACTCCTGTGTGATGTCTGTGTCATCCTGCCTTCCCATGACACAAAACACAAGTCCTCGAGCCATCACCCAAATGTGTGCTAAGGTGATGGGGACTGCTGCCTGTCACATGTGTGGCACTTGGAATTTGAATGAGGGGTCAGGGGGACCGCAGAGGATACAGAAAGGGCCAGATGTTCTCCCAGACAGTGCCCTGGAGGGGATTCCCAGGGCGGAGGTGGCTTCTCATTTGGGGGCGGGGTTTGCTGGAAAATGGCAATGCTGCTCCTGGACAGTGTGCCCGGTCTCTGTCCTGGCTGGACCTCGGAGAACAGGGTGTGGCAGGAGCGGGCCACCTGGTGGGGGGTAGTGCAGACAGAAGGGCTGAGTGGTAGTCCTGAGCTCTGAGTCCAAGCCCACCCCCACACCTGAGTGTGCCAAGAAAGAGGTGGGAGAGGAGAGGTCAAAGCCCAGCTCAGTGATGAGAACCTGATTCCCTACCTGGCCCACCTCAACCCGTGTTTGGGGAAGATGCCACCTCTGCCCTAGGCAAGAAGTGGCAAAGAACAGACTTCTTCAGTCCCCACACCCCAAGGACAAGCCCAAGGACCAGTTTCTTTTCCACTGCTTACCCTCTGGAATTTCCTGAAAGAAAGCAAGCTGGAGAGAGGAGACGCCCCTCAGAGGGTCCCAGGGCTCTGCACTCACCCCAGGAGATGAGGAGGCCTTGGTCCTCTCTTCTGTGCAGCAGGAGGGTACCTGAGCTTTCTGAACAGGGACAGCCCTTGTAACCAGTCCTCCTAGAGCATCCACTCAGGTGTCCTCCCTCAGGCTCCCAGGCTCCAGCTGGGCTACCTGGAGGCCACCTTGACCCAGGGATCCAGCTCCAGCTCCAACTCTAGCTCAGAGCTCTTGCCCTACCTGCTTTCTCTGCTGACTTCACTGATCTCTTTATTGTCACCACAGACTTCCCTCTGTGCACAGCTACCCTGAGAGCAAGACCTCTGCCAAACCAGAGGGAGCCTTTGTGATGGTTAGATAAATGGCCCCCATTTAGCTGTATTCAGCTCTGTAGGTTCAGGGAGTGGGGGGCAGTGTGGCCTGGATTTCCTGTCACAATTCTGTGGCTGAGCAACCTTGTGCAGCAAGCAACCTGCCAGCTGACAGGAAAAGTGGGTTACCAGGAAAGATCCTTCCAGTCAATTGGAGGTACTACCAAGTAGAGAGCAAATCATAACGATGAAGTGTCTGATCCATGTAGCAGGCCCAATCTCTGTTCTGAGAAGAGGTCTGTGGGGCCAGGAACAGTCATGGAGTCTTCCTGGAGGAGGAGGGAGGAAGCGGGACTTGAAGGATTGGAAGCATCCCGGTGAGCAAGAAAGATGCTCTGGCTGAACTGGTGCCCGCTGTTTCCTCCCGGGAGACTCCTGACTCTTGCTCTGTCACTCCAGAGCTTAGCACCCGGCCGGCATACCATGGGGGGAGCAGAAGGTGGAGGAAAGTTCTAGGTGGAGCCTCAGTGTAGACAGCCTCCAACCCCAGGCCCAGCTGCACACTGATGGAGTCTTGCCAGGCCTGAGCCCACCTTCCTTTGCTCTGTAGGGCTGTGCCTTCCTGTGACCCCAGTGTGCCACCTGGCCTGTTCCATGCCTGCCTGGCCTCGCTGTCGGTGAGTCCAATCTGGCTTGCAGTCTGCTGCCAGTCTTGGCAGAGGGACTTGTATCTCTTGTTAGGGAAGATGCAGGGGGATCTGGGAGTCATGGGAAAGGTCTGGGAGTTTTGCCCAGGTAGGGGTCCAAACCAGGATTCAGGCCATGTCCAACCTGTCAGACTTCTGTCACCTCTTGGCCACTCCCCAAGATGCTACATGAGGGTGTACTGGGTAAGTGGGAGGTGTTCTGGGACTAACTGAACTCAGACTCAGACCCTTGGGGACAGCCTGGGCACCCCAAGCATCTTCTGAACTCTCCTTTCAGATCCTCGTGCTGCTGCTGCTGGCTGTGCTGGTGAGGCGCCACTGCCTCTGGCCTGGCTGTGGGCGTGGCAGGCCTAGACTGCCCAGGTTGGTTCCTGGGGCCTGGATCCCTCCACTCAGGGGGCCTGACTGACAGGGCCCTCTGGGTGAGGGGGTGACTGGTTGGGTATCTAAAAGCCAACTCTGACTTCAGAGATACCCCCACTTCTCTGTCTGGGCTTTCTCCACCCCCACCCAGGTCTCCTAGGTTAATCAGGAACCCCAGAGGGAGGGGAGGGACTCATCCAGCTCCCTTTGCTTCTGCTGTGCCAAAATTGGGGTAAAAGTCTCCAGGGAACACAAGTCCTCTCACATAGGCCCCAGGGTCTGGACTGGTCACAGCCACCTAATGCTATCTTGACCATCATTTCTCCTGAGAGTCTGGCCTCGAGCTGGAGGTCATTTCTGAGGGTCTGGCCTCCAGCTGGAACTTTCTCATTCAGCCCTGCAACCCAGAGCCTGGGTCAGGCACGACACCGAGGAGATGGGACTGGGCAGACTGGTGTAGGAGACACCAACGCGTTGGGGGAGTGGCGGGTGGAACCCGGATGTAGACAGCTTTGTACCCTAGACCTGGGTTGCACATCGAGATGGGTACTGCTGTGCTGGCTTTGTGGTGAGCCACTTGAGGTCTCTGGCTGACCCAGGACAGAGCTTGCCTGGTCTGGGAGAGGGCTCAGAGAGGATGAGCCTCATGAGGGCAAGGTGGAATAGAGAAGCAGAAGGTCTGGGTGGCCTGCCCTGAGCCCACAGGGTTGACAATTAGGACATCTGGGCCTGCTGTCTGCCCTGTACCCTGGGACACACCCAGCCAGGGTGGGGGCTGTTCCACAAGGATGCAGTGATTCACCGTGTTCTCCAAAGATCTGCCCTCCCAGACAGACGGATCAGTTAATGTGGAGGTATTTGGTGCTTGCTCCCACTGGGTGTACGTCCCTCTGCCATAGCACTCAGAACTGGTAGATAGGAGGTACTCATAGACATTTATAGAATGGATGAATAATAAACAAGCCTCATTCCTCAGTTTTCCGGTCTGGGAAACGGGACTGACTCTACCACATTATTTATGGAACACAGTTGGAGGCAATGGGGGTATAGGGGCTGAGCAAGCCCTCCTGTTCTTCCCTGTCTTTGTGTCAGCCCTGTGGATTTCTTGGCTGGGGACAGACCCCAGTCAGTGCCTGCTGCTGTCTTCATGGTCCTCTTCAGCTCCCTGTGTTTGCTGCTCTCTGACGAGGACCCGCTGCCCTTCCTGACCCTTGCCTCACTGCCCAACTCAGGTACCCAGCGCAGCCGTGGCCTGAGGCTGGCTTGATGGGATGGGGCAGGGTGGGGTCCAGGGGTATTAAGCTTGGCTCAGGAGGTGATGGTAACCAGAGCAGTTGTCATTGGGAGGAGCCTTTGCTCCTTGGCGTGACCTCTTTAGATCAGCAGACTCCACGAAGTGTGGACATGAGCCCCATTTTGCAGTGGAGGGAACTGAGAGTGAGAGAAAGAAGCAACAACAAAGTTCAACCTTAATTCCTCAAGAACTTACTCAGGTGCTGGGCTAAGCACTGTGCACAGATCTTCTCCTTTTTGTTGCTAGACTGTGATTCTTTCCACAGAGGGGAAGCCAAGACTCCAAGAGGTAACTTGCCCCAGATTACAGCTGATGCCTAGTCAGAGCCTGGGTTTGAGCTCCGAGCTCTTGCCCACTGAAGCAGCTGAGGGCTTGGAAGATGGAGATGGGAGAAAGGTCTGGGTGGGCACCACTCAGGCCCCATGTCTGCCCCCATCACGTGTCTCTCCACCTCTTTCACCTTCCAGAGTCCTGGAAGATTCTGGCCCTGCTCTATTATCCCGTTCTCTACTACCCTTTGGCTGCCTGTGCCGTGGCCGGGCCCAGAGTTGCATACCTGCTTGGCAGCGCACTGTCCTGGGCTCACTTTAGCATCCAGGTCTGGCAGAGGGCAGAGTGTCCCCAGAAGCCCAAGGTAACCACTGACTCCCCACTGCCTGGGGCAGGGGATACACGGGAGGAGCCTACTTCGACCTGCGAGGCTCCTTTCATCTCTGCTTACACACTGGGCTTCTCTGCCTCCTTCTGTTATGCACAGGGTTCCGGACCTTTCAACATGTGCCTGTGCCAGACTGGCTTTTCCAGGGGTGGGACAGGGGACAAGGCAGCAGGGCCCTGCCCTCAGCAGCTTCCAGGACAGGAGGGGGCAGAGGAAGAAGAGAAAGCCAGCCACGCCCCGTCAATCCCTAGGTTGGGCTGGAGTGGGAACAGAAGTGAAGAGAGGTGGAGGATGGCAAGTGCCCAGTCAGGGGATGGTTTCAGGGGCTAGAGAGAATTCCAGAACCTCAGAAACTGGTTCCCTGGCTGCTGGTCAGGACTGTGAAGCTGCCCAGTCTTCCTCATTCAACAAACATATCTGAAGCACGTACTCTGGACAGGGGCATCTCCAGGCACTGGAACAGCTATGAACAAGACAAGCCAAGTCCCTGGACTCCAAAGAGCTGTTGTTCTAGAAGGAGACACAATAAATAGATAAGCAGGTGACTTGAGGAAACTGTTACCTCTCTGAGACTCAGTTTCCCCACCTGTAAATGGAGTTGATAGCACAATCCTTTGGATAGGTGAAGATTAGGAGGTTTCTTTGAGAGGAGGGACTTGGTGGGTCTTTTTCACTACCTAGAGCCTGGCACACACTAAGTTCTCAATAAAAAGACATTGAATTAACCAACAAATGAATGAATACATGAGGAGCCCAACCCAGAAAGGCCTCAGCCCCTGGAGGCAGAGCATGGGCTTCTTGATGCCCAGGTGGCCAACTACATACTGAAGAAATTAGGCCTTTGTCCTGTTTTCAGGGGCCTGTTTCCTGACATGCCTGGAACATGGGAACCTAGAGAGTGGGTATCCTCCATTCAGGGCTCACTGCCCCTGGGGATGGACCAGGGGCCATTAACCTCCCTTTGGCTCCTCCCAGGCCAGATGCTCCTCCCAGGAGCATCTTTACAGGGCCTGAAAGGGTGAAGTGGGCATGTTGGTGAAGGGTGGCCCAAGTTGGGGGCCCATAGAACTGGAAGCCTTCTCATGGCCCTCCAGAGCATCGGAGAGGGAAACGGATTCTAGTTCTTGGTGGGGGAAGAAAGCAGAAGTAGGTCTATCTGAGTGTCTGTGTATCTGCCCAGATTTATAAGTACTACTCGCTGCTGGCCTCCCTGCCTCTTCTGCTGGGCCTTGGATTCCTGAGCCTGTGGTACCCGGTGCAACTGGTGCGAAGCTTCACCCACAGGACGGGAGCAGGCTCCAAGGTGAAGGGACAGGGCAGGGCTGGGCTGGTTCCTACTTAGCACCCAATACATCAGTCTCTCCCATGTCTGTGGTCCCCCCATACATAGCCATGCTTGGTATGAGGCATGTAATAAGTGCTCAGAAAATGTTTTCTGAGTCACTGGGTGACTGCTTAGTGGCTGCACCTTTGATCAGCACCCAGGGTACCTGGGGCACTGGGCTGTGTGCACAGCAGGAATTCAACAAAGGATAACTGGGTCAGAAAACAGGAAGTTCTGGCTTCATCTTTGAAACTGGGCCCATCTCTGCCCAGAACTCAGGATGAGGCCATTCCAGGGCAGATCCCACCTCAACTGAGATGGGCCAGGAGACTTGAGCCTTCTGGGATGCTGAAATGACTCACAAAGTATCCAGAGCAGAACTGCATTACAGATCAATGCTGTGTTGGATACTGTTGGATGATGTGAGATGCAGAAGAGGTCTGGGAGGGCTTCTTGAAGGGGGTGGATTTTAGCAAGAGGCCTGAAGGACAAGGAGGGTGTGGAGTGGGGAGACTAAGGAGCGGGCACAGCAGGCATGAGAAGGAGCATGAGTAAGGGGACTGAGGGGTGTGTGTCTATTTTGTTTGTGTCTACCCTGGCAGCATGGAACAGGTTGTAGCACATAATAGATACTCAGCTAACATTTTTGAATTTTTGGATGGATGGATAGATACATCTTGTGAGAGAGAATTCTTGAAAGCTATTGCAATCTTCTTAAGAAACGCCTTCTATATGTCAGGCCTTGGGCTAAGTGCTAGGGCCTCCGAGCTGACTGATCCTTGCTGGGCCTCCAGGAGCCTCCCTATGGGGGGAGATGGGTGCAGTGTGGGTGAAATGTGCACGGGGCTCCTCCAGCTGCCGTTGGAACACAGGCACAGGCGGGGTCAAGTGGCTTATACATGGGAGAAGGAACGAACACTCCAGAGGCCCTCAAAAGGGTAGAGGCAGATTATAGAAAGGCTGAGGAGGAATGGGGAGTGAGGAGAGGCCAGGTGGGTCTGCTTGCCAGGGCAGCCCTCTGGTCCCAATGGCCCCAGCCTCTTGGTTGGGCTTCTGCATGGCAGGGGAACATCTCTCTGTTGGGGGCCCCTTCTCTCCTCTCCCTCCATGGAAACCTCTCTGCCAAAGCTTGAAAGAAATAAAATCCTCTTTGGACTTTGGTCAAAGAGATTTAAGCCACAAAGGACCCAGTCAAGCTTTGAGCTGACCCACTCCAGCCCTAGGTCCTGGGGTTGCTATAGCAACAGGTGACCGTGGCCTGTTTTCTCCCAGTGATCCAGGGCAGTGGCTAGCCTCATGCTCCCATGGGCTTCTGCCACTTTGCAGGCAGCTTAAGTCCTGGAATGTGGCTTAGGCAAATCTGATCACCCTTGTGATGTCCCTTGAGTGGGAGGAGAAGCCTGAGGGATCTGCCCTGGAATGGCCTCATCCTGAGTTCTGGGCAGAGATGGGCCCAAGGGACACAGGCTTTCCTTTACCCCAGTTGCTGGGGTGGGGGAAGGGAAGCAGTGAGTAAAGCAGGAGAGAGTTGGAGTTAGATTGTAGGAAGAACAGCATTGAGGGGAGAATTCCTTGCCAGGAAGACGACACTTTTGCAGGTCATGGACCTTATTCCCCAAGGTCACAGGTCACCGTCTCCACACTCCACTACCACCACCACAGCCAGGTATTTATGGGGACCTACTTGGTGTCCACTCTGGTGCCCTAAGCCAGGGCCCCCCGGGATGGCTCAAGGCAGGTCTCATCTGCTCCCCACTTCCCTGTCTCCACAGGGGCTGCAGAGCAGCCGCTCTGAGGAGTATCTGAGGAGTCTTCTTTGCCAAAAGAAGCAGGAAAGCCGGTGAGGTCCCAGGCAAGCGGAATGGCGGGCAGGGCTGCTGAGCAGCCGTGTTTGGGAGGCTGGTGCACAGTGGGGACAGAGGTGAGGAGTGACCAGGCTCTGCAGCTTGGTCTTGGGGCTGGGGCTTTACCTGGGGCCTCCCCTGCCTGCCTGGGTCTTTGCAGCTCCTGTCCTACCTCCAAGCATGGCTTCCTGTCCCGGGTCTGGAGCTGCTGCCAACGCTACACCTACACTCCACAGCCAGGTACCGAGCATCTGACGCTGAGTGACAGGTGTCCTCACTTCTCTTTGCCCAGAAGCAGCAGTGGAGGGCTGGCTCCTGCTCCCCTGCTCCCTTGTCACCAGGAGAAGACACTGCCAGCTTGGGACAAGGGGAAGATCCTGGCCTGGCCATGGTGGCCCAGGGTCTTATGAGCTCCGTCCCTTTTCCTGGGCCCCTTGGGAGGGATGGGGCCCTGGAGCCTTAGTGGTGCTGTTCACCATACCCCTTCTTTTGGATTCTGCAGGATTCCGCCTCCCCTTGAAGTTAGTGATCTCAGCCACCTTGACAGGGACAGCCATTTACCAGGTATGTCCTACATCCTGTAGTGACCCTTGAATCCCCAATCCTGGAATAGCTCAGGCCCAACTCAGCTCTCCAAATGCCCACCCATGGTCCTGTCCAGCTGCTTCTGGCCATCTTGGGAATGCTGGCCCAGAAGGGCAGGGTGTCAGCCCTTGTTGGGCTCGTATAGCAACTCAGAGCATGAGTTTTGGAGTCACATAAAAATGGATTTAAATCCTACCTCCATTATTTGCTTCCTGTGTGACCTTGAACAAGCCATTCAACCTCTCTGAGCCTGTTACTTCATCTATAAAATGGAAGAAATAGAATCATTTTTCTCTTTGGTTAGTTGAGAAAATTCAGTGAGACCATATATTTGATGAATCCTCACTACCACCACCACCAGCCCCACTCACCCCCCAAAAAAACCCAAAACAAAATCCTGGAAGGTAGGTATGATTTCTCTCCATTTTGTAGATAGGGGAAGTTGAGGCTCAGAGACTTTGACTCGGTCAAATTCCTACAAGTAATTTATCTTAGAGTTGCTAAAATCTGAATCTGGGTATTTCTAGATTAAATGTCAATGCTCATTGCTTTGCCCAACATGAAAAAATTAGAAATTTTATATTCTAAAGTTTAGAATATAAAGGCCCTAGATTGATAGGTAATAGACAGGCAGAGGTGTAGGGATGCATTATGCTTCCTGGGGGACCTGCCAGGCCACTGAGGTGTCCGTAACATACTGTGTAGAGGGGTGCGGTCCCTGCTCTAAGGTGTGGATAGGATACTCCGATGGTCTCCAGGCCTGTGCTGTAGCTAGCCTGCTGCCACGGTCCCCTCTGAAGTCCCCTTGCTTGCACAGGAAACACTTTCTGGGTGGGATACCTGGTGTGGCACAGCCAGGCCTTGGCATCCTCACTGTGGGGCCTTCCCAGGTGGCCCTGCTGTTGCTGGTGAGCGTGGTTCCTACCATGCAGAAGGTGAGGGCAGGTATCACCACGGATGTCTCCTACTTGCTGGCCGGCTTTGGGATCGTGCTCTCCGAGGACAGGCAGGAGGTGGTGGAGCTAGTGAAGCACCATCTGTGGGCTCTGGAAGGTGAGTCTCCCCTCCTCAGGAGCCCCGAAGCCACAGAGGGGCCAGGAGCTAGAATAGGGTCCCAGCCTGCCACAGATATCCTGGGGGTCCTTGGTCACCTTCCTTCCCCTCTCTGGGCCTCCACTGCCTTGTCTCCAAGTGGGGGCAGTTGAAGTTTCCAGTGCCAAGTTTCTGAGACTTAAAGAGACCTGTCTCAGCAGCCCCCTGCCCCTGCCCCCAGCTCCTGGGTCTTTGACCCATTCTGCAGATGTGGTGACAGAGAAGGGTGGCAAGTATGAGCTGAGGGAGGGGAGGGAGGAAAGGAGGCAGCGATGTGGGGCAGTGGGCCAGGATTTCTGGGATAACCCATGCCAGGGGATGGGGTTGGGCAGGGTACCCGTTTTCTCTCCCAGTCCCTGTCTGCTCAGGCCATCTCCTCTCCTTGCCTCCCCTGAAATGAGACTCCAAACCAGGGAATGGTAGATGCCACCTGGAGTCCTATTCCTGCAGTTACCTCCTCACCCCGCCTCCCAGGCCCTCCCCACACCTCCCAGGCTTCCCCACACAGTCTCCACTGGGCACATGAAGAAAGGCTGGCCTACGGCTGCGTGGCGGGGCAGAGTGGAGCCAGGGAGCAATGCAGGTCGCTTGGAGCCCAGGGGCTCTTTCCATCACCATGAGATAAGTCTGGAGATCAAGAGTCCTAGGGCCTACACCCTTGGCTCATTTGAGGGCCCCTAATAATGGGCACCCTGCTTCTGGGGAGTAACCCGTGGTAGTTGGAGCAGAGGCTGCCAGCATTGTAGGCAGCTCTGCAGCTTTCCCGACCATGAACATCATCCTGTCCCACAGACCAAGGCAAGCTGGCAATGCCAAATGGCAGGAAGTGGGGCATAGAGTGGGGAAGAGGCAGAGGTGTGCCCAGTGACCTCCTCCTTCCCTGCCCACCCTTCCCACCACGAGCCTGAAGGCCTCAGCTCCCACACTGGAGGCTGCCTGGGAACTGCTGCCGAGGCCCACAAGCTGGACAGGTGACAGGTTTGAAGAGGGCTGTGACCTGGGTCACAGGGAGGTACAGATATGGCCTAGCTATGCCCACATCCAAGCTCTGATCTTTACTTGCAGTGGCCCTGTTGGATCGCATGAGTGATCCTGGTTCATAGAACAGGAAACTGAGGCTCTCGGGTAAGAAGTAAAGTGCCCAGGGCAGTGAGTCTTCTTACCACACCTTGCATTTACAGTTGTATGTTCCAGTTTCTAAGCTCAAATATTCCCTTTGGATCTTTTTGGAAGTGGGGGCCAAACAAAGCAGCATTTACTCTCCTAGTTTAAGGATAAGGAAAACCGAGGCCCAGGAGGGATTAGAGATATGCCCAAAGCCATTTAGCAATCTAGTTGTGGAACTGAGGTTAGAGCTGGGCTTGGAGCCTTTGGTCTGTTTTTCTTTTGTACCAGGGATTGAACCCAGGTGCACTCGACCACTGAGCCACATCCCCAGCTCTTTTTTATATTTAGAGACAGGGCCTCACTAAGTTGCTGAGGCTGGCTTTGAACCCATGATCCTCCTGCCTCAGCCTCCTGATCCACTGGGATTACATGCTTATGCCACTGCACCCAGCATCCTTTGGTCTGTTCTTAAGCTAAGAAGCTAATGTCTTCTGAGCTCTTGTGTTGGGGCTGCCCATTGGTGCCTGGGCCATAACTCTGGCATTGTTGACAGAAAGCTTAGACCCTGGGTCAGGCAGGCCAGATTATACTCTCAGTTCCATCGATTACAAACTGTAAGACCTTGGACAAGCTGCTTCACCTCTCCTGGCTTTGACTTCCCTACCTGCAATATGGATGCTGAGGTTAAAAGGGCACCCCTGTCCAGGAGGCCCTTGATTGGTTGAAAAAGATGGATCTGTCCACAAGGAATGTCTAGAGGGGGCAGGTGCAGGATCCCAGCAGCCGCAAAAAGAAGGAAGATTTTCTGGGTGCCAGGGTTTGGAGCAACCCCAAGTCTGGAGCCATTGGAGGGAGAGAGAGAGAAACAGCAGGTGGACAGATGGAGATAAATGGCCAACCCGGCTTTGCCAACCCTTCCCCTCCGTTAGCCTGTTCATTCACTTGATGAGGCTCGGCTGGCAGGTTCCTTCCTCTTGGCAGCAAGTGGTCCAGGATGCCCCTTGCCTGGTGCTCAGTTGGCTCCAAAAGGGGCAATGCAGCAGGCTGGAGCTGTGCATGCCCAGCGTTATCTCTCAATCATACTTTGCAGAAAAGTATCCCTGAGGGTATTACAGGGGGAAGCCAGGGACAGACAAAGAGGCTCCTGTTTTTGTAACAGTTGTTCTCAGTCCTAGCTGTATATGAGAATATTTGATAACTTTTTAAAAAGTTTCCCAGATTTGGGGCTGGGGTTGTGGCTCAGCGGTAGAGTGCTCGCCTAGCACATATGAAGCCTTGGGTTCGATCTTCAGCACCACATAAAAATAAATAAACAAAATAAATGTAAAAAAAAAGTTTCCCAGATTTGAAGTCACCACCCCAGATCTACTGAATTGGAGACTCTGAAGGTTGGGCCCAACATCTATGATTCACCCCGCCCAATAATTCTAACACAAGCAAAAGTTTGAGAACCACCATAGAAGGCACCGTTAATTATTGCTTGGTTGATTGGTTCCAATTCATTGCTGCTGGAAGTGTCACACTGGATCCAAGCAGTTGAGTTCTATGTCTCATGAATTTGAGGAATGAAATCCACAGACACCAGGGTGAGAGTAAAGTAACAGGATTTATTAGAGTAATAGAAAGAGGGCCAGGAGTGGTGACACATGCCTGTAATCCCAGTGACTCCGGAGGCTGAGGCAGGAGGATCACGAGTTCAAAGCCAGCCTCAGGAATTTAGCAAGGCCTTAAGCAGCTAAGTGAGGCCCTGTCTCTAAATAAAATACAAAAAGGGCTGGGGGTGTGGCTCAGTGGTTAAGTGCCCCTGGGTTCAATTCCTGAGGAGGAGGAGGAGGAGGAGGAGGAGGAGGAGGAGGAGGAGGGAGAATAATAGGAAAAAAGCAGAGCTTCCAGAGGGGAGGGTCCCCAAGAGAGGGATGCCAATGGGTGTGTTGTCTCGGGGTTTTTAAAGGCATATCTAATGGCCCGGCACAGGTGATTGGTGGGGTCAGGGGTGCAGCATGGACCAATCAAACTCTCTAAACCCTGAGTTTAATAAGCCAATCAATCCCTTATTTACATTATTAAAGAAGACAGGTCTCACCGGTGATTCTGACACATCTTTTAGAAAGGGGAAGCATTTCGGGTAGGGTCTGCTCGTGGTCAGTCATAGCTAGAGATAAGGGCAAGGGTCACTAAGGAAGGGCTGTTGTGGTGATAGCTGTGAGGGACAGAGACAAGTATTCTACCACAGAAGAAGGCATGGTGGGTAACCCTTCCCTCTCCCCTCCTGTCCTTCTCCCAAGGCCTTATCCTATCTGCCTGAGGGAGATCTCCCTTCCTGTCTCAGAAGTAACTCCTGAAGGCTCTACCTGCAGACCAGTGCTGCTCGGCCTGGCTGCACACTGGAATCCTGGTTGCTTTCCCAGCACCAACGCTGGGTCTGCCCCACAGAAACTCTGATTTAACTGGTCTGGAGACAGCCCAGGCAGTGGGGAGTTCGGGCAGCTCCAGGTTACCCCAATGTGCTACCAGTGCTGAGACCCACTGCCCCCGCATCTCTGGCTACATGGATCGGGTGCTTGCCTTACTCATGTGTTTGCTGTCACCTTTCCAGGTGGAAACACAGGAACTGGGGACACTTCTCTGGGCTGACTTACAAGCTCAGAGTGCAGGCAACTGGGGTCCTTCTGGATCTAGTGGAGGGCTGCACTTACCATACCTGGCGGTGGGGTTGGCTGTGTTTAGCTCCCTCTCTGACCTTTTTCCTCTTTGGCCTCCTGGGAACAATTCCTGTGTCTGACCTCCTGGGGTTGCTTCGGGGATCCAGGGTGAGGATGTCTGTGGATGGAGGGTGGGAGGACTGCACCCTGATAGTCTTCAGTATTTGTTCACGACACACCCTCCACTCTTTCCCAGCTCTTTTTCCAGCAATCTCGTTACCTGTGTGCATGGCCAGGGTTGGGGTGAAGGAGCTGAGAGGTGGGGGCCACACCCCCAAGATGGGTGGCAGGGCCACCTTCCTTGTCCTTATAGACTTGGCATACTGCCATGGACTCACATCCTCTGTGCCCTGAACAAAAGCCATTGGTCAGGCAGGGGCGGGGGATTGTGGTCATTGAGTTATCCCAGGAGTAACAGTGTGCCTGGGAGGTGCACACGAATGAGCAAAGCAAGGATCAAGGGTGAGGTACCCCCCTGAAGTTCCCACAGCCAAGAAGTGGTGGGGCTGGAGGCAGGAGCCCGGTTGGGTGGAATCCCTTGAAAGATAGGGACAGGACCAAGAAGACTCCATTCAGAGGGGGATGGGGGCCAGGGTCCCATCCTGGCAGGGGTCGGAGGCTCCCCAGTGATCCCCCAGGACCCAACCTCCCACTGTGCCCCCTCTCCCCCTCCAGCTTGCTACATCTCGGCCTTGGTCCTATCTTGCACACTCACCTTCCTGCTCCTGATCCGCTCGCTGACAACTCACAGGTTGGTGGCAGCTCTGACTAACCCTGTGCAGAAGTGGGAAAGGGCCAGAGACCCAAGCAGGTGTGTGTGGAAGCCCTGGGGCTGCAGGGAGGGAAGGCCCTGGAGACTGCATGGTAGTGGGTGGAGAGGTGGGCCCTGGGGCTGCCTTCTTGAGCGACTGTCTGGTTGGGGAAATACCTGCAAGGGAAATGGGGCATGACTGAAAGGAGGGGGTACCTCTGAGAAGGGGCCACCCCGGAGAGCTGAATTCAATAGGGAGGCCATCTGGGCATCTGGCATTCTACCTAAGAGTGGAAGAAGAGGTAGGTGGCAAGGGACAGAGAGTGCTACAGGCCAGAGGAACCTCATGAGAGCATGAGAGCTGGGCATGGTGGGGCACGCCTGCAATCCCAGCTGCTTGGGGAGGCTGAGGCAGGAGGATCACAAGTTCAAAGCCAGCCTCAGCAGCAGGGAGTGCTAAGTTAACTCAGTGAGACCCTGTCTCTAAAGAAAGTACAAAATAGGGCTGGGGATAGGCTCAGTGCTCGAGTGCCCCTGAGTTCAATCTCTGGTACCCACACCCCAAGTAAGTAGAGAAGTGGGTGCACCTGACAGCATGAAGGGTGGCCTGGCAGGGGTAGGGGCCTGGAGGGGTTGTTCTGGAATTTGAATGCCAAGCTGCCTAGTTTGCCCTTTTGCGGTGAGCGCTGAAGAGCTTGAGGCATTCTGAGTTCTGGGTGGGAACAGGCCTTGTGGGAAGGGGAGGCAGGAGCTCACCATGGCAGAGAACTGGCCCCCGTGCTCTGTGCACTTGACAGCCCTCAGAGACCCTGTCCAGGGCTCTTTCCCACAGGATTGGCCCCTCTGACCCTGGCTTTCAAGGTTCCACAAGAATGCTTGCCCGCATGCTGCCCTGGTGGCCAAGTTGCGTGTCACCTCCATTCTCAAAGTTGGTTCCCACTATCCCGACATGGCTCAGGTTGAACCTCTGCCTGGTTTTGTTTCCTTAGTCACCCTGTAAGGCTCCCAGGATGTCACCTCTTCCAGGAAGACCTGCCAGCTTGAGTTAGTGGCCTCAGGGCTCTGAGGGTCCTTGCTGAGGGTTTTAATTAGGCTAGGGGTTTCGCCAGAGAGTGCCCAGGGGCACCTGGGAGTGTCTTCCTCCCTGAGGGTGCTGCCCCCCTTGCTCACACCCCAGGGCCAACCTTCAAGCTTTGCACAGAGGGGCTGCCTTGGACCTGGGCCCCCCACTCCAGAGCACTCGACCATCCCATGAGGCTATATTCTGTTGGATGAGCTTCAGCGCCTACCACACTGCCTTTACCTGCTTCGGTGAGCCCCCTTCCCCTCCCCCAGCCCAGACCTTGGTCCCTGTGGTGGCGAAGGGAAGCATGCTCCAGAGTAAGGGCATCAAGGAGCACTGGGAGAAGGGTACCCTTCGCATGAAGACTAACCCTGGGTGCCACCAGGTGTTTACATGCAGGTGTATACCCAGGTCTGGAGGTGGCAAGTTCAAGGTGGCACATTGCGGCTCCTGTAAGGGAGGGTTGTGCTGCACTGGGCTGCCTTGGAAGGTAAGGGGAGCCTGTCACCACAAGTATGAAAGCAGGATTCCATGGATACTGTTGGGGATGGCAAAGGGGTTCCTGCAGCTGGTAAAGCATCCTGAAATTATGGGGCTGGGACCAAGGCTGTAAATCCAAGGTTACATTGGTTCTCCCCACCCTTGGGGGAGGAGAAAGACGTTGATAATGGAGAGGAATTACTGGGACGAAAAGTCATGATTTCTGCCAAGTCTTTTTTTTTTTTTTTCCTTCCTTTTTCCAACTGAAGATTGAACCCCAGGGTGCTCTACTACTGAGAGACATCACAGTTCTTTTTATTTTATTTTATTTTTTATTTTGAGACAGTTGAGGCAAGTTGTCCAGGTTGGCCTTGAACTTGTGACCCTCCTGCCTCAGCCTTTGGAGCAGCTGGGGTTACAGGCAAGTGCCACCATGCCTGGCTTGCCAAACCCTTTTGTATGCATTATATCATGTGATCAATTGGTCTGGTTGTTTCCACAGACAACTCTTGGGTACCCACGATACACCAGGCTCTGGCTGGTAGGAATGCAACCCCTGATTTACAGAGGGGTCTTGTCCCCAGGAACTTAGGAGCAAGTAGGGGAAAATGATGCTTGCAAAGCACTTTGGTTTCAAAGAGTTGCCACTGATTCAGTCTCTTTGGATCACACAATAGCCCTCTGAGATAGGGACTACGATCACCATTTTGCAGAGGAAGAAACAACAGCTCAGAGACGTAATGTAACTTGCTCAGGGCAACACAGCTAGGCAGTAGAAGAGCAGGGATTGAAACCAGGTCAGCCCTTGAATCCAAAGCTCTTGGATTCCCGAGGAAGCAGAGGTGCACCAGTTCCCAGATAACTTGGTATCTGTCCTCTTGTTGTTCCCGATCCCTGCAGGGCTCCTGGTACAGCAGATCATCTTCTTCCTGGGGAGTACAGTCCTTGCCTTCCTGGTGTTTGTGCCTGTGTTGCACGGCAGGAACCTCTTGTTCCTACGATCCCTGGGGTCCTCATGGTGAGTGAGGCAAGGAGTGGAGGGCTCTGGAACCCTTTTGTAGAGGGCTGTTAACAGCAACCACCCTCCCTAATCCACCTGCAGGCCCTTCTGGCTGACTTTGATCCTAGCTGTGACCCTGCAGAACATAGCAGCCCACTGGGTCTTCCTGAAGACTCACCATGGATACCCAGAGCTGACTAACCGGTAAGGTGGTCTCTGAGCTTGTGGTTCCCTAGGGCCCTCAGCCTCTTCTTCAGTGTCTCCTACCCAGTAAGTAAAAGAAAGAACTTGCCTTACCTACAGAGACATTCCAAGATATCTTTCTCTATATCACGTGAGGCATAAATTAGCCCCAGGATCCCTTTTTGTCTGTGGGATCTACACTCCTCCCTGGATCCTCGTTGCCCAGCAAACCCTACATCTTCTCACTTTGCAGGAAAGAGGTTCTGTGTCAGATGGCAGAGTTGTGGGGAAACCTTGACCCCACAAGGGAATTTGAATTCGTGGATAGGAGAATCAGAGGAGGAGACCAGAAGGCACTGGGTTCATGGAAAGACCCAGATAGACATGGACTAAAATCCCAGCCCGCCCAACGAGTAACTAGATAGACTTGAATAAGTCACCAGGTTCTCTGGGCCTCAGTTTCCCTCCTAAAGAAGAGGGTGATACCACCTGTCTTCTAGGGTGGTGGGTTGAGAGGAAAGGCCCAGCATAGAACATGTCACTCAGAAGGCATACTTAACAAACAGTAGGCGCTCAATAAACACAGCTGCTCTAGGCCTCTAGGTGTGACACTGGTCCTGGGAGGGGGCTCTGGGAAGCCTGCCTCAGCCTTTCTCCTCCCTGCCCCAGGCGAGCACTCTACGCAGCCACCTTTCTCCTCTTTCCCATCAACACGCTGATGGGTGGGGTGGTGGCCACCTGGCGAATGTCCCTCTCCGCCCTCTATAACACCGTCCACCTCAGTCAGATGGACCTCAGTCTGCTGTCATCACGAGCTGCCACTCTGGACCCTGGTAAGATCGTTGGGCAGGGGCTGGGGGCCTACACAGTGCAGGAGGGGGTTTGCCCCCCACTGCCCTCCAGCAGATATGTTCATGGAGGATGATCATGACCATGAGCATCATGCATTCTGTGTACTGCTGGGGCTCTGAGGGTATGCAGCGCCTGTGGCATGTTCCATGGGTCCACACGTGTCCGTGTGCAGCGTATGTGCCATGGCCCTGTGTGTCTGCAGGCTTGGACGCATGTGTGTCCTTGTGTGTGTCAGGGGAGTCTAGGTGCCTCTAGTCTGCCACTGGCCCCTCCTGCCAAGCACTGCCATCCCCCTCCCCACCCCAGGCTATTGCACATACAGAAACTTCCTGAAGCTGGAGGCCAGCCAGTCGCATCCTGCTGCGACTGCCTTCTGCGCACTGCTCCTTGCAGCTCGAAGTCCCCGCCTCCAGGCTCCAGTGGACCCCAAGGGAAATCTCAGAACTGGGGAGGAAGAAGAAGGTGCGCTCTCCCACTGGGGATGGGAGCCCAGCCTGCCCAGCTCAGCATGTCCCTGCCAGCATAGTGAGCACCAGGAAAATTGTCACCTCCCCTCTCTCTTGGCTGCCTGAGATCCCCCATCCTGGTCCAGTCTCATGATAATTTTTTCCCATGATACAAATGTACACACACACACACACACACACACACACCCCTTCTCTGTGCACACAGAGAAGGAAATGGCTGCCTTGCTAAGGGACTCTGTTGTGCCCCACCCCATTACCTCCTATCTCTCCCCAAAGTGTGAGGCCTTTCCTTCCCTACTGCCCAGGAAGTGTGTAATAGGAGGGAACACTAAGCCAGCTCTGTGCCCTTGTGTTGGCCTTGCCTCTGGTCCCTCCACTGACCTCAGCTCCACCTGCGGAGGCACATCCTGAACCTTCACCCTCCCCCAAGCCCAGCTTCTTCTGATTTCCCTCTCTGAGCTGGCAGCTGGAACCCCAGGCTCAACACCTTACTATACACGGGATTTGCAGACTCTCTGGGATATTCAGTCTGGGGCCTGGGGACACTTGGCTGAGGGAGTTATTCACAGAAGGTTTCTCTCCCTCTCAGGGTTGCAGTTGCTCCAGACAAAGGACCCTATGGCCAAGGAAACGGGGCCTAGAACCAGCCGGAACAGGGCCCGCTGGGGTCTGGCCTACACGCTACTGAACAACCCAGCCCTGCAGGCCTTCCGGAAGACAGCTCTCTCAGGTGCCCAGGCCAATGGTGCTCAGGCCTGAGGTCAAGGAAGGCAGCCCGCTTGCCCTGTGTGTTGAGGCACGTGCCCATCTACCCTCCTCCCCCGTTCTCTGCACACCACCCCAACCATGGCAGCCCCTCCCCTTAGCAGCAGCTTAGCCAGCAGGTTCTTGGGATCAAGGTCCCAGTGACTAGCTGAGGCCTGGGGTCACTGAGGTTGAATGAAGGTTTGTTTCTCCTATGAGCCTTGGAAGGACTGTCATCTGCCCCTTTGGTCTTGGGAATTGCAGAGAGGACTCTGGAGAAAGCAACTGGGGTGGGGGTGAGGGTTAGGGTTGGTCCAGGAGCCAGTGGAGCAGGGTGACCACATCCAAGCCCCTCCCCACCCTGGCTCTGCCACCAACCTTGCAGGGCCTCACTGAGGCCTCTTCTGAACAGGCTCCGTGATTCAGGGCCAGGAAAGCCCTGCATTCCAGCTCAGCCCCACCTCACCCCTCCCTGGTTGCCAGAGCGCTCCCTCTCTCCCAGCTCCCCCCTCTCCTCTCCTCCGGGAGTGACTAGAAGGTTCCCCAGCTGTGGGGTCTGCAAGGAAGCCCATGAGGGCTCCTGACTGGCGGTGAAGTCACAGCTCTGGCCCCACCCTGAGCTGCCCACTCCTGAGAGCCAGATATTTTTGTAGTTTTTATGCCTTTAGCTATTATGAAAGAGGTTAGTGTGTTCCTGGTAATAAACTTGTCCCTGAGAAACAGCCCTCCTTATGGGAGAGGGGACGCAGGGGAACCCTGCCCAACATTGTCAGTCAATCCACACTGTGTGTCTATGGGGTTTTGATGAGTTGAGGTATCTGGCTATGTGCAGGGTTGGGCTGGGGGTGGGGGTAGAGAGACCCCATAGCTTCATCCCTTTGGGGGATGAAGACTGGACCCTATGATGCCACTCCCAAGCAAGTACATGTTGAACTTCTGAGTCTTAAAGGATGGGGAGGGTTTGTGGGGCAGGAAGGGCTTCAAGAATGATGGAGAAGCAGGATGAACAAGGGCATGGGGGTGGGACAGGGGTGCCGTGCTGTGGGGTGATGGGTAGACCAAGCATGCAGAGCAGAAGGGTATCGAGACCAACTGGGGACCCTTCCCTGCCGGGGCTTGGTGAGATGGAGGATGCTTGAATAAGGGAGATGCCCTGGGTGTGGTCCACCATGGGCTGGGGGCTACAGGGATAGTATGGCCACTGCACAGACCTGGGGCATCAGGCCTCAAGAAGTGTCTGTGGTCTGTGCAATTAGACTGGCAACCCCCCACCCCACACCTGTTCCTGCCCCCACTATGCTTCAAACTCACAAAGCTGAGGTGGGGCTAGGGAGCTCCAAACCACTTTCCAGGCTGCCCAGGGAGGCCAAAGAGGGCACGTGCTGATCCCTGGAAAATGCCTTCCTGGTCCTCTGTTAGCCATGGACAGAGTCACAGAGATAAGGACTCAGATTTAGCCTTTGCTCTTAATGAGGAGACAGAGTCACAATGGACTGTGATCAGCCGGGGCTGTGAGCAAAGAAGGGGGCTACTGCACACTGGGGACAGGAGGCATCCTGGCAGGCTTCCTGGAGGTGCCCAAGCTGCATCCTAAAGTATGGCTTAGCCAAATGAAGAACAGGGAAACAGTGCACAGGCTGGCGACAGTACAAGTAAAGGTGCAGAGGCTGGTAATTCAGGCTTCCTCCAGGGTAGTGGGAGCCATGGAAGACTTGAAAGCAGGGGAGTAGCACTTGGCACAATTGTTCCCAGGCTTCCCTGACTCAGGATGTACATCCACCTCCTGTTTCAAGAAGCCAAGCCCACTCAGCTATGAAAGGAATCAGAGATGGCAGGGTCCAAGTGCAGTTAGGATGGTCAAGCCTTAGATAACTAGTCCATTGAGCCCAGAAGCAGTATCTGCTTTACCCTTTCGGTTCTACCTGTCATTTGATTTCTGAGGCAACTGAAGCCCAGAGATGGGCAATGACTTACCCAAGGTGGCACTGCACATCGGATCTGGCTCCATCCTGCTGCTTTCCACCAGACATGGCTGCCTGCTGGAGACGTCAGCTCAGTCAGAGCTGCAAGATAATGGAGGACAAGGGAAGAGGGGGTGGCCCTGAATGTAGACCAGGAGGCAGGGGAGGGGCTGGCCAACTGCCAGGGCTTACAGCTGCTACCCCAGACCCCTCGGCCTCCTCCACTTTGCTGAGCTCAGCAGTCCTGGGAGCTCTGAGCAGAGGCTGCAGAGCCTCCCCCTCTGGGTCATTGTCCCTGTGCACAGTGTCCTCATTCTTGAAAGTGACAGAATGGAGACCATAGGGAGACATCTCTGACCTGGTGCAGATATGAGGTTCTGCTGAGTGTCCAGGGTCCACACCCACATTTCCCCATTCTGAGACCCCACCAGTTGTAACCAGTCCCCACCCCCATCTCACCCTAGGTCAGTTACTGACACATCGACTCGGAGGGGAGAATTTCCTACAGAGACCTCTGGGAACGCTATCTCCTCTTCCTGGAAAGAGGGAAGGCAAGCCCCATTCATTTTCTCTGGCTCCCTTTCCAGTCTGTTCTGTTCTCAGTCTCTCTAGGGTTTTCTCTCTCTCTTGTCCTCTTGTCCTCTGCCTCCTCCCTTCTTGTCTCTCCTCCTTCTTGCCCCTCATGTCCCCCCTTTCCACTTTGCTTCTAATATTTCTTCCAGAAAGCAGGACAGGGAAGTGGAGCCACAACCCAGGCCCTCCCATTGTCTAGTTTCTTTCCAAAATGCCTCAGTTCACTTCTGGTGTAAAGCACTGCTCAGGGTCACTAGTGACCCCAGGAAAGTCTCTCTAATGATTGTCAGGCTCCCACCCTGATTTGTCCTGTGGGCTAGTTTGTAGACAAGGAACATCTGCACCCAGCTCAAGCCAAGGCCCTGCCCCCTCTCACCGCTGGGCCACCCCTAACCATGCTGCCTGCCACGTAGTTCATGTTATGTCCCATAGACCCATGTCCTATGTGGGCACATAAATGTGGCTATCCTGACTCTGTGACTCCTGATCCTAACCCCCAGGAGGGACTCTTAGATCCAGACAAAACTCCAGGCAGACACAGGGGAGCATCAGAAATGCTATTTATTTCTCTGCCACCCCCAGGCTGGCTGGCCTCTTAGGAGGGGCAGGCTATAGATGCGTACTTGGAGGAAAAACAAGGGTGGGTGTCTGGGCAAAGGGCTCAGGCTGAGAGGAAGGGTGAGAGGACAGGGAGGCCCAGCCTGTATCCCCCATCCTGTTGCAGTGAGAGCAGAAATACTCTTGATATCCCGCCCCCACACGCACACACAAGGTCAGAGAACACCTGGGGGCAGAAGGAGCTGCAGCAGGGCACAGAGCCTCTGGCCACCGCCCACATCCTTCACCCTCTCCTGTGCTGCCTGCCCCAGGACACCTCTCAGCCACACCCCCATGCCCACCCCACCTCCCGGGTAGCCCCCACTAGCTTGTCAGTCACAGTGCCTGGAATTCCCAGTCTGGTTAGGGCATCGCGCCTCTAGCTTGCCACCCCTGATAGGGAGGCTCGACGATGCTGTTAGCAGCATTTAGCACCACAGACGGTGAGTGCTGGGATCGAGTCCCTCCTTGTCACTAGCTCTGAGCAGGTCTAGAAGTTGGGGTGGTAGGTGTTCCAGAGATATTAGGAGGGGAGGTAGGAAAATGTGGAGTTGCCCAAGCAGGCCTCAAGCTGCCCATCTCCAGACCTCTCGGCACTTATAAGGAAGAAGGGCAGCTTGGGTACAGAAGTTAGGGAGGCCTCTGGGTTGTCCCAGCCCTGCCTGGGTCAGGGCATGACTAGAAGGAAGCAAGGAAGAAGATGAGGAGGCTCTGGCCCAGCAGGAACAGGCCTGGGAGCTGCTGCCCAGTGGCCCCTTCCCCTGCTGCTGCAGTCTCAGGGCTCCCAGCGCGGCTGAGGTAGATGATGACCACGTTGTCCTCAGGCCCAGATGGCTGCACCTCGTTGTCAACCGTATAGCAGCCCTTGCCTTCCACAGCTTTGCCATGGAACCTGCGCCCCAGTGCATCCTCCCCGCCTTCGCCCGGTGTGGCCAGTGCCACATTCACTGAGCTCTCAGCGCTGCCCAGTTCGTTGGTGGCCAGGCAGCTGTAGGTACCCTCCTCCAGCTTGCCAAAGTCGGGGATGAGCAGGCTGCCATTGGCAAAGGCCTGGAAGCGCGGCCGGCTGCTGGCTGCTGGGGTGCCTGGCAGGGCACGCCCATCAGTGCCCACGTTGGGGCTGGCAATCTCCACAGTGCCGCCCGGTGTCTGGATGTGCCAGTGAAGCTGGGGGGCCGGCTGCCCGTCCACGTCACAGTGGAGTGCCAGCACGAAGCCAGGCCGAAGCTCGGCACCATCCTGGCTTGGCTGGTAGCTGAGCTGCACTGAGGGAGCGGAGCAAGGCAGTGGTGGCAGGCGGCTGAGTGGAGTGCCCTTGAGCACGTGGGGCGAAGTGCAGGCAATGTTGTCCTGCTCCGGGATGGACACAGCCGTGGCCAGGGCCCATGTCTTGAGCCACACAATGCCACAGGTACAGTCAAAGGGGTTGTCGTTGATCTGCAGGTGGGACAGTGCTGTGAGAGGTGTGAAGGTGCCCTCAGCCACCGTGTGTAGGCGGTTGTGGTTGAGCTGCAGCGAGCGCAGCGCACTGAGGCTGCGGAAGGCATCGCGGGGGATGGAGGTCAGCTCATTGCTGTCCATCTTGAGCAACTGGAGGGCACTGAGGTTGTGCAGGTCACTCCAGGCAAAGTCAGAGATGAGGTTGTGACTGAGGTCCAGGCTCTTAAGATGTCCCAGCGGGGACAGGGCACCGGCAGCCACTGTGCGGATCTCATTGTGCGCCAGCCACAGTGACTGCAGCAGGGGCACCTCCCTGAAGGCCCCCTCTGGCAAGCCCGGCAGCCGGTTAGCTGACAGGCTCAGTGTGGTCACATTGGCTGGGAAGCCAGGTGGCACAGCCTCCAGATCGCGGTAGGCGCAGTCGGCAATCTGGAAGCCGTACTTCTCCCCACAATCACAGGGCTCGGGACAGGACTGCACCAGGCCCAGGAGAACTGCCCAGCAGAGCAGGCGCAGCTCCTGCATGGTAACTCCTGCGGAAAAGGACACATCACCCAGGTGATCCCGAGGACCTGCCCAAGTGACTCGTCCCTCCCAGGACCCCAGCCCAAACTCACCTCCATCCCAAGGCCCTACCCCCACATAACCTAGCTAAAACCCGCCGCCCCCCCATTCTTCAGAGGGGGAAACTGAGGCCCAGAGAAAGGCAGGGACTTGCCCGAGGTCACGCAGCCAGGCAGGGTGAAGATAGGACAAAAGAGGACCCCAGCTTCTTCTTCAAACAGAGAGCTCTCCCTGCCTCGGCCTGTCCCTAGCTGACTTTATGACTCGAAATCTGTTTTCCAGCCGCCCCCTCCCCCAGCACTTTACAGAACCGCCCTCCTGCCCTCCCACATCCTGGTTGCAGTCCCTCCCACTGGAGCTCCCCCCATAGGTAAGCTTTGCCCTGGCCTAGACAAGGCTCCTTGTGCAGGGCACCCACCCCCTTACCCCACCCTCTCCCTCCTGCTGCTCTGACCATGACCACAGCAGACACCAGGCCCTTTCTGCAGAATCACACCCATGGCCTGTTCTGCTCAAACTACGCCAGGCAGCTGCCTAAGAAAACCCCTGCCAGGACCTCTCAGCTGACTTGGGCAAGGCCTGTGGCTCCAGCCAAACACGGCTGGGGTTTCTGGGGTCTTGGTTGTTGAAGGAGCAAGATGCTCCCTGGATGGCTCCAAGCACAGGATTGTCCCCAGCACCGGATCCAACAGGGATGTGCCAAGAGGGAACCAGCTCCTGGGTCCAACCGGCCCCCACCTCCACCCACAGGCCCTGCGAGCCCTTCAACTCCCCGACTTACCTTCAAACTACTCTTCCTTAGTCCAGCAGAGCTTCTTCCAAGATGGAACCAAAAAGCAACAAAAGACCAAGTTAGCACCGAGAGTTAGCAAGGCCAGGGCGCCCAGGGGAGGACGAGGACGCTGGAGGAAGGGGCTGCCTGGTCCCACACCACCTTCAATTTGCACGCCTGTGGCCACCCTGCCGGGATGGGGTGCCTGGGAACCGTGCACTGGGATGAGGCTGCAGGGAGGAGCCAGGGCAGCCACTTGCTGCCTCCTTCCCGAAAAACAACTGCCGCGCTGCAACAACAGGGACCCGTGTTTCATAAGTGACACCAGAAACGGGAGGGGGAAAGAGGCCAAATTTTTTTGGGTTGTGTTTTCTCTCTCTCCCTCTCTTTTCCTCTCTCACTTTTAGCAGTTTCAACTTCCTTAAAGACACAGCACTGTCTGGACTGGACCCAAGACAAGATGAGGCCAGAAGAGTTTTTATGGGGTGGGGGGGAGGGTGAGAAATTGGATATCATGGAAAGTGGGAAACTTCTAACCTCACTTCAAACAGGAAAAAAAAAGGAGCGGCTCCTTTCTCCCAGTCGGCTGTCCGGGTGTTTGTGTGTGTTTGTACGTGTGAGCCTGCACAAATTTAGGGGGTTGAGATTGTGTATTACTGTATGTAGATGGATTTGTAGGTGTTAGTGAAGAGTCCAGTGTGAAACTCTGTGTGTGTGTGAATTTGTGTTTGAGAAGGTTTGGGGGGAGCGGCTGTGTCTTTGTGTGCTGGGACTCTGTGTCGTTGTGGGTGTGACACCCTGGGTCTATCTTGGTGTGTGAGTTTGTGTGTGGAAGTGAGTGTGTACTGATGTGTATGTGGCGGGGGGGGGGCGGGGGGGGGTCGCAGTGAGAAACTGAGAAGGTCACAGTGTGTGAAGCAGCTGCCAGGTCCCAACCCTCAGCAAGAGGCCAGAATGTTAGGCGTGTTTTTAGGAAAACATCCTGCTGGCCGAGGCAGCGTCCACTGGTGGTGCCCAGGGAGCTCCCAAGGCTCCAATCCCAGCCCCACCCGAGCTGAGTGGGGAGGGACAGGAGGCGGGGGGGGGGGGGGTGGGACGACAGAAAGCCTGGCTCAGAACTTGGTAACAGAAAGCTGGGGACAGGAACCAGTTGGGCATCAGTGTCCCTGGCTGGGATTCGGGGACACCCAGACTCCTAGAGAGGTTCCATCCAGTACGGCCCACTGGCACACAGGCCTGAGGTGGAGGGTCTCACTCCTGGCAGATTCTCTCTGTGGCCTCAAAGTGCTTGAAATCCACTGTCAGTGCCGGACCTCCATACACTCAGCTTGTCAGCTTGTCCCCTCTGGGCCCCACGGTCCCCAAACTGTGTGAAGGGGTATACACACACCTTGGACATTTTTTTCTCAAACAGGAGGGCTCAGGGGAATAGAAATGGAGACATAAAGAGGCCTAAAACAACGTTGCTGGAGGAGAAACCAAAAGATGAGGGAGGCCCGAAAAGAACTTTCTAGACTAGATCCAGCTGCCTGTTCCTTTTGTCTGTTAACTTGCTGAATTCTGCTTGTGGCTGAACTTACCCTCTTGGCAGGACCAAGGACGAACAGGAACCATCTTTGGCTGGAAGCATCTGAGGAGCCCGATTCCAGCTCATCACATCCCTCTCTCACCAAGCAAGGCTGCAGAAGTCCACAGTGTGCTGCCTGCAAACACTGGATTCTGGCGCTGAGAATATGATTGTGGTCTAATTTAGATCCCCCACCCCCCACAGATGAAGCCCCCTCTTGCACCATCCTTACTGTGCTGGAGAGTTTCTGAGAAAGTCCTGAATTGGTGAGTCAAGCAGAGGAAGCATACACATCCAGGGGTCAATAAAGCAGGGGGAAAACCAGGGACCGCAGTGTCAGTCAGGGAGGATTTCCTGTTAGAGGGGGCTTCACTGGCTTCTGCACTCTCACACAAAGGCCTTGCCACCATCCTCATATCCAGGGACTCTAAGAAGCTTGTAGTCCCCTTGTCTTTCCCCTCCTCCAAAACATCAGGGTTAGAGTGAAACCCCACCATCACAATCTGCCAAGCCCTAGTCCCCCCAGTGTGGCTAGTTCCTTCTGGCACATGCATTAAACACCACCTTATCAGAGCAGCCTTCTGAGTCCTCCTAGTCTGAAGGAGGTCTCTGTTAGTTGCTCTCACAACCTCCCCTTTTTCTTTATGCACTAAATTGCAATGACTTATTCATGCATGTTTAAAGTGTGACCCCTCTGCTGGGGGTGGGGGGGTTCTTGAGGGTAGATGCCTTGTCTTCCCAGTTGCTATCGATCCCTGGTGCAGAGAAGAGGCTCAATTAACATTTTTTGATTCAATAGATTGGGGGAGTCAGATGATTGGATGCCAGAAAGGAAAGCGCTTTAGGGCTCATCCATTCGTGCATCCTCCATCTGGCATAGATGGGGACTCCAGGCCTAGACCCAGGGAAAGGATGTGCCTAAAATCATGCAGAGAAGATTGTATATGGCATAGAAGACCCATAGTCAGTTGGGTGGGTGAGTGAGTCATCAGCATTCCTGGGGTCTGGGAACTCTGGCCCCTCTAACTCTCCATCACTGAAGCCTTTGACAGTAGCCAAACACCAGGCTGTTCTCAGAATCCCACATCAGAACAACCCCCTGAGGGGTTGAGGGCCAAAGCAAGAGGAACTAGCCCACTTAGGCAGAAGTGAGAATGTGTGTGTCAGTCAGTGGTCTACCCAGGTCCTAATGCTGCCAGCAGGGTGCAGTCTGTCCCACCACCATAAGGAAGGAGACAGTCAGACAAGGGCCACCAGGGCTGAGCGGATTTTACCTAAGGACTATCTGACTCTCCACAGTGTTTCATAATGGGACATGTGGGCCCACCCTGGGCAGAGCTCAAGGAGCCATTGTATGCCCTTTCATCGGGTACTTATAACCTCCTGAGCTGTCCCTCTCCTCCTTGCTGTCCCAAGCTGAAGTTCTTCCTGCAAAACCCACCCCACAAGATATAACAGTGCGCTAGGAGGCCAGCCAGGAGCCCAGCTCCCCATCCGCTTCCCAGCCTGGAGCTCCCTGCATGTACCTGGGCCACCATGGTTCAAGCCTGGAGGTAGGGGGGCCCTCAGTGGGTATGTGGCACCTTGACTGTCCCCAGATCACTGATGGCAACCCAGCTGACCTTATTCCAGCCTCAGGACTGGAGAGCTCTTCTCAGACCCTCTCAAATCCATCTGCCATCCTGAGTCTCAGCAACCCTACAGCAGAGAAAAAGAGAATTGAGGTCCCTGAAGAGGGAAGCAAGGGCCCAGATTTGGGAGCCCTCACTGCCAGTCCAGGCCTCAGCTCCAGGGGTTCTTAGACAGTGTGTAGAGTGACCAACCAACTGCTCTGACTTTCCTGGAACTGATGGGTTTCCTGGGACACACAATTTGCAGAGCTAACATCTGGACATTCTCAGGCAAACCAAGACAATTGGTCACTGTCACAGGGACTTCCTCCATGTTTTTTCCACCACTCCCTCCCTCTCCTGCTTTGCAGAGACTCAGCCCTCTCTCCGGCTCCTCCCACATCCTCTCCCCTTGGGTCCTGCTATCTCCAAACAAGGTGGCCAGTCCCACCCCAGCAGCAACTGCTTAGCCTGGACACTCCTACCGCAGAGAGGCCCTGGGCTGCCGTGGCATAGCACCATGTCAACTTTTCCTAGATGGCAAAAAAAAAAAATCCTGAAAGAAAATGGAGAGAGAGGGATGGAGCCCAGCAGAAAGAGAGAGAACTGGAGAGAGACAGACGGAGTAGTGGGAAAGAGACCTGGAGGAAGGAAGGGGGTGGGAGGGGATGGAGTCACAGCCAGTCAGGGTAGATCCAGGTCAGAGAAGGGAAGATTTAAAGGAGGCAAGGCCCAGAAACAGACGAAGGGCCACAGACCCTGGAACAGATGGAGGGGTGCTGCTGTACCTTGAGCTCAGCCATGGTTGTGGGACTAGAGTCATCCTGATAGAGGGGCACATTGGCCTCAGTCCCTAGCCCACATGCTTGACAGTTTGTTGGCATAATTGAGAGGAAACTCAGCTCACTTCTGGTGGGACTTGATTAAGCCTGTGGGTCTCTAGGGACTGGCTGGCCTGGAACCTTGAGAAGATGGGACTATAGAAGGAACCCTAGGCTGGTATGTGTGAGTACTGCGTACCTGTGCACACATGGAGGGGACAGATGGAGATCTGCCTAGACCACCAAATGAGGTTTCCATTCTCTGGGCCTCAGTTTCTCTGTTATATGTAGGAGTTGTTCTAAAGTCCTCCAGCCTTGATATTTTGCCATGCTAGGATTTCTCATGAATGTCTGCATTTACATAAGGAGTTCTGTGCACGTGTTCATGTGTCCTTATTTCTCTGTGCGCGGACGGGAAAGGCAAGCCTATGCTTCCTCTCCACCTGTGCTTGCTGGTGTGTGCACCTGGGGCCATGGATGGGGAAATGGTTCAGGCCCCACCTTCTCTCCTGCTGTGCCCAGGTGACTCTATTCCAGGCCCTTGACCTTACTTGGGGTAACTGCACTCCCGTCTCCTCCCCACTCTCCATACACCACTTCTACCTCTTGGGAACTCTCTCCTTTTCCCAGGACCTTGGAATCCAGGACTAGCCTCGTGGACAATCAACACCCTGCTACTTCTCTGGAATCACCCCCCTGTCTCTGTCCTTGCTCACTATGTTCAGTCCCACATGTCACCTGCTCTCACCTTGAGGCCATTGTTCTTACTCCTTACTTAATTTGGACAGTGTCCTCATATTTGCAGGCCTCACTTCTTGGGGTCATTTAAGATTCATTCAGACGCCACTCCTCAGAAAGGCCTTCCTGGGCCACCTTATGCAGACAGACTTTGTCATTCAACACATCTTTTAGTGTGTTTCTTGTCTGTCTCCTCAATATGAATGTGAGGCCCACATTGGGGGGGACTTTCTGCTCATTGCTGTCCCCCAGGTCTTGGTGAAGGGTCTGCCACTTGGGCGGTGCTCAATAAATAGTTGTCGAGTGACTGAATGAAGAATGACCTCCGGCCTCTAGCAGGAAGCCTTTGCCAGCCCTCCTCTGTGTCCAGAGGCTCCTGAGTCCTGTTCCCTGAGTGTCACTGCCCTCCCTCTCACTGCCCCCTCCTGAGTTCCCCTCAGTCCTCAGGGGCAGGGGACTTCTCAGCAGCAGGGCTCACTGGGGTGTACTTCATAGGAATCCTTTTTGTTCTCCTCCAAGCTGGTCCTACAGTCTCCAGGAATGCTGCCCCTGGCCACACCCTGGGCAGATGTCCAGTTTTTCGCCACTCCCAAAGGC